AATTATGCCGTTTCAGGCCCCGTTTTTTTGCGTTTGTTGTTTTACTTATGCGCGGACACAGAGCGGCCACGCCCCTTTTGTATGCATTTGCATTCGCAATTTCAAATTCCCTCTTTTGTTCCTTTAATACAGGCAAACCTTAATAAATCGAACTTCCGAACGAATAATAAGGGACGGATCATAAAAATATATGTTGATGTAAATTTTATAATTAAATCTGCAGTTTGTAATCGAAAAGAATTAATTTATTGGTTTACATTTACCTTTACTTTTTTAAGTCATATTTACTTTTATTTATTATTTAACGACAAAAAATGTAATTTTCTTCCTCGAGATCAGGGATAAAACCCTAATAGAATGGAATGTAATGTTTTGAATCTTCGAGTTTTGGAAGTAATTTGGCGCTGAATGTAACCACCAATAAATCTTGTTCTATAATTGTTTAATTTTGTTCACTACCAGCAAATAGGATTGTAATCCCATTTCGTTTTATTTCCCATATCGATTAGGCGCTTTTTTTTGCACTTCGAGTGGGTAATGCTCTTTGATGGAGTACAGCAAGAATGGATGGAATGGAAGAGGGGCGGAGCCTTTAAGTGGAAGTTGTCGCTTACTAATTAAATTCTGCACAGCAGTAGCACCAAAAAAAAAACAAAAGCTGAAGATGTGCAGCCAAGTCGAAAATGAGATCGTTGGACAGAGAGGGAGGACAAGGTCCCGGGAAGGGGAAACCGGGGGCGAGTGGGTGGTAGTGGGATGCCACGTGCACGTATACGAGTTCTCGAGTGTGCGTATGGCAGTGTGTATGCCCGAGTGGAACTGGGAGGGAATCAAGTTTCAAAGGGTACCAAACAGAGGCGTTTGAAGGGAGTTAATGGTATATACAGTTTGCATTAGGATAAAGTTACATACATTGAAATGGGAACAATTCTTTGAAATGTAGTTTCATTACCGGACAATGTTAAATAAAAGAAATTATGATTTCGTTGCACAGAATAAATGATAGGAATATTTATAGTCACTTGAAATGTAGTTTCATTACCGGGCAATGTTAAATAACAGAAATTATAATTTCTTTGCACAGAATAAATGATAGGATTATTTATGGTCACACTTGATTAACACAACATATTAAGCAACTTACTATTCCTTATACCCCCTTTGCAGATTTATGTGTACGCCACTGTTACCCACCAACGCACACAACGCAAATGAAGTGGCAAAAGGAGCACGGTAGAGAGAAGGAGGGAAGCATTTTCCTTCCTTCTTCATTTAGCTGCGTCGTCAAAAAAAAAAATGGTAAATTGCAAAATCCAAAAGGAGCAGGAACATTTATTATTTGGGGTAAGGGTAAAGACACAGGATACTTTGGTGGTTGCTTGTCACACAGAAAAAAAGATCATCCGAAATGGTGTATGCTCAAGCATTAACAAGTATGTAAATGTGTAATAGAACAGACATAAATTATTCATCTGGGGTGGATGGATAGGATAGTTACCCTATATATTTCACAATGTAAACAAAGGGAGCATCAAAAACAAATGACACAAGCAAATACTTTATGTCACATTTGGCAAACTTTTTAAAAACAAGCTTGGCATCTTTCATTTATTATAGAAAAAGGGGTTGTTATCGTATTTAGATACAGGAGATAATTGTTTCTGAGAAATAAAACAAATGTGTGTTGCATCCCTTTTTTATGAGATGCGTATTTTAACTTGTATTTAAAATCGTACTTATAATTGCAACTAGATTTTTCCTCACTAACATTTTTGATTTTACCAGATTTTATTTAATAAGCTAACATTTCCCGCGGTTTGAATGAATATATTAAAAATAAACGAGAAAGGAAGCTGACTTTGGCAATGCGAAGTTGATATACCCTTAATAAAAAAAAAGTTGGTAAACAAATAGGAATTCAACATATGACGCGATTAGCATCGTTTTTAATCTTGATCTCCTGCACATCAAAGATGACGATTGCCAAAGTTTTAAACGAAGCGAAAAAGTAGAAATACGGATTTTAACTCTCCTGGTGTTGTCGATCAAAAATCTAACTATGTACATACATGTATATGTATGTATATACTTCAAAGAGTCGCCTAATCTGCGTAAGAAATATCCTACCAAAATTAAAATACCTATTGCAAGGGTAAAAAATAGAAAATTCCCCAACAGTGCTTTGACTTGATTTCTTTTTTTCAGTGTCTACCATGGATCCCTTTTTTCGTACTTTCTTGGAAGTGGAGTTCAATACGAAAGGGGGACGAATTGTAGGTTTAGGGGAAGGGGAAAGTAAAGTGGAAGTACTTACTGGTTCGATTCTGGGCTGGCATGTAACTCATCTTGGTGATTAAGGCGCTTTACACCACACCTGCAAGAAAGAGACGGTGAATATGTGTATGAGTAATTTGCTTAACGGTTAGCTCGATGTTTGTTAGTGTTAGTGTGCGAACAACAAGCAGAAGGAAAACTCTAGTCAAAACTCCATGTTTCTGCAGACATTTCACAGACTTAGTAATCACCCGCTAGTCGGTTATTTTATTTGTTTTCTTTTCCCAGCTCCCCATTTCCGTTTTGGGATGCCACAGCAAAATACGAAATATGCTGCGTATAGGAAACAAGCGCTCACACATTCGAACGCAGGTAGATGTGTGTGTGTGTCTACCTGCCGAAGACTTTGGTCACAAACCTTGAGTTATTTAATTACTATGTTTGGCACTTCTTCAAATTTTATACACTCCAAAAAAAAACACAGACAAACAAAAAGAATTTATTTTTCACTGCAGCTTCTGGAAAAAGGCGCAGCAAAAAAAATTCGACCGACCAGCACGCCCGTTAAAACAGAACAGAATGGATAGCGGAGAACGAAGCACTTGCAACACGGCGCTTGAGAGAGACTGCGAGTGCGAGGGAGAGACAGAAAAGGGCCGCAGTGCAGCACACAAATGCAATGCTGCGCAGAGTTGCCACACTTCTCCCAGGTTGTGCATACACATACACAGGAAGGATTCAGGCTCCAATTCCGAATCTAGAATTTCAGATTAGATGAAATACTTGCTCCCACCGCCGATAATAAGCCTGTAATTCGGACAAACATGATTTCCTGTCTGCAGCATTGTTTACATTCCAGCGAGGAACAAAACAAGCTCACGATTTACAGGGGAGAATACATAAAAATGCCGTTTGTGTGTATCCAGCTCCAACGCACACACACATAGGCGCACGCTCTTCACCCACCTCCCACCCCCGCACCTACTTGTTTGCCCTTTCTTTCCAGCTTTCTTAGCCATACACATAACTCAATTTTCCAAACGGATTTTATCTCATCTAGGATTACTTACCACGTCCAAGGAATTTAAGTCTGCTTTAGAGCAGGATTTATTTATTTAAAACGCACTGGGACACAAATTAACAGCGAACCTCTCTCCACGAAAAAAAACTGTGTATATGGCGACCCAACTAGTGATGAGCTGCTGCTGTTCCGATAACTCTATAAGTCGATAGGTCAATGAAATTTTCAAATATTTGTATTTCTAAACAAAAAACTCCTTCGCCACACAATACAAATATCTCTTTGGAAAACTGAAATTTTTGAACTATTTCCTCGGACCACAATTTACTTTTTTCATCCTTATTTTTACACACAATAGGTTTTGTTTATTTACGGAAAGCGAAGTAATTTTTAGTCCAAGCCGTAATCTTGTTCATACCGTTTATCTTGTATAAACATTAACCCACACTATCGTCTGCATGTATGTGTGTAGGTTGTTTGGCAACTTCAGTTAATATAGAAAATACTGTTTTTTGCCTCAAACTGTGAAAACTTCTAATACTTCGAGCTACTTACCACGTCAAAAGTAATTTTGTCTGCTCAAAGGCAGGTTTCTGTTGTTTGAGCGCACTTAAATCGTAAAATTCGACCAAAAATTCCGACTGTGAAAACTGTGTATATAGGCGTTTAGCCGATAACCGATTACTTTTCCACCGCAGGTGTTTAACCTGCCAACTTGTTAAAAAATATAATGTAAGGGCGCGATTTTTTAATTGAGGAAGTATTTCATATTATTCACAAAGTTAAGTCGCAAGCCATTGTACAAACGCTTTTTCAAATTTGCTTTACATAACAACTTTTTCTTCATAAAAAGTCACCATTTCGACTGCAACTAACATTTCGGACTAGTTCTTTTTTTCTTTATTTGGCAAGACTGTTGGTGACATCTGGGGGTAATTTCATGTCAATGTCAGTATCAGTACAGCTCTACTATATTTACGCTTCTGTTTACCAAACTAGCAAGAGTGCGCTTTTCGATTTTTACAATGTCTGATTTAATTGAGCAGAGAAGTGCCATCAAATTTTGTTTGCGGAATGAAATTTCGGCTGCGGAAACGTTCGAGGATGTTGAGGAAGGCCTTTGGTGATTCTACCATGTCCCAGAAAAATGTTTATAAGTGGTACAAAAACTTCAAAGAGGGTCGGGAACGTGTTGATGACCTGGAGCGCTCCGGACGACCATCGACGTCAACAGATGACCAACACGTCAATGAAGTGAAGGAATTAGTGCTCAAAAATCGTCGGTTGACTGTAAGAGACCTTACTGTTATGATCAGAATAACAGAAGGATCTGTGAAAACCATTTTGAAAGACCATTTGGGCCCACGAAAAGTCAAAATCAAGACGACACGCTCACACTGCACTCGTTCTTCGTGACCATTTCGCATATCGTTCCGCAAGCACCGTATTCTCCTGATTTGGCTCCTTGTGACTTCTGGCTATTCCCAAAACTCAAGAGACCGCTCCGGGAACAGGTTCGAGTCGATTGAGGAGATAAAATCTGAATCGAAGAGGCGCTAATGGCTATACCGGAAAGGGACTATTTGGCATGTTTCGAGGATTTCAAAAAACCTTGGCATAAGTATATTTTATCGATGATCGATGAGGGGATTACTTTGAAGGGGATGAAATTGATTTAGAAGAATAAATAAAGATTTTTTATTTTACAAACAAATTCACCAGTACATCTACGCACTGGTCTTTTATTTTTTAATAACTATCTTTGTTGGGCAAGTAATGCTTATGAAGTCGATGTGGGTTCCTCGGAAAAGCTTACAGGAGGTGGGGGAGGATCATAGGTTTTTCTTTGATCCCTTACAAACTTAACAAGAGCGCTCTTGTGCCGCTCAATGCCATCGTAAAGCCCGTACACCTGGGCAAAACCAAAGTAGGCAGCCACAGCTGCGACACCAAAAAGAGGAACAATGATTGCGAATCCTGCCAGGCAGGCGAAGAAAACCATGGAAACTATGGTGAGAAGAGTGCCTGAAAGACGACCACTTTAAAGTGAGATTCCAATCAAAAAATAGAGGGACCCACCTTCTAGCACCAGCAGACCCGTAAAAGTCATCACCATGGTGGCTATTCCGAACCCGAAGATTATGAGAAAGGGTAGCATGAAGACGAGACCACCGGCCAACAGGCAGATGGCAATATGCGGATTCCGGGCGCACCAAGCAGCTATGGCCTCCAGAAACTCATTTCCACCCAGTTCGTACATCACAAACTCCGCAAAGCGACGCAACTGAAGCCCTGCAAGATTTTAAGGGATTATTATAATGCAACTTATGGTAAAATGTGGTTTTAAACAAAGTCTCTTCAAAGCGCACATTTTTCAGAATGATTTAAAATAATAAAAAAATAAAGTATCTTCGACAATATTTAAATAACTAAACAAACTGTACAGCCCGGATTATAAGGTTATTATGGAAGTTACACTCTAAGCCCTTAACATACATGACTTGTAGAGGGTCTGGAGCAAACTCTCCAGGAACTGGTCGCCTGTGGTTGATCCTACGTTATGATCGCCTCGCTTTTGGGCACCTTTGGCCTCCGGTTTGCTCTCCGTTTTCGTTTCCGCAGACTTCTGGGCATTCGCTTCTCTGGCGGCTTTGCGCTCCTTTTTCGAGTGAGCCTGTAGAATCGAACATTTCAATAAATATGTTATTTTATAGCGTGAAAATCGAAAGTGATTAATCGCCGGCTGCAACGCGACCTTTGGCTTCGTTGCCCGCCACTCCGGCCTTATATTCTATTCTTCCAGATCCGGTGAGCTGCATCCACAACCACACTAACCATGTTGTGCGGCTACTGCGACAATATCAGGCGATTTCTGCGGTCATTACACTTTCAGGTGAAAATACGAGTTCTCCAAGTAGTTAATTCGCCTAATTAAAAGCAACAGTAATGAAAAACAAAATAAATAAACAAAAAAATATCGATATCACAACCCTGAAATCAGAATAATCGAGGCAGAGATGCCATCCTGTCAAAGCAGTTTCAATTAACCCTCAAACGACAGCAAAATAAATTAAAATTAGGGGAATCGTTACAAACATCTAAGAATATAAAATAATTAAAAATGTTTTATGACATTTCTTTTTTTAATTGGAAGCCAATTTATAAAATTTTTATCCAAATATTCATTAAGCCTTAGTAAAATATTTCGATAATGTTAGTGCTTTTAAAGGTATTATAAAGAAACTACATAGTAGTTGTACTAAGTATATTACTTTTATTTTATTTGACAAATAATAATACCGTTAAAAAAATTTTTAAGCAAATATTTGATCATAAACAATTTGTAATATCGCCTATAGAAATAACGATAATTTTAAGATGGAACAGCCAAGTCCTTAAATTTAAAATAAACTAAGGATCATCATGCGAGGTCTTTATTCAGCCGAAAGATTAGTGGAGCAGGAACCTGAGCCCGTTAAAAGGGGGTCGCTCCGTAATTCTCTCCGCGATCAATCGCTCTCCGTGAACAGTCATTCCGCTGCGGAGTTTTGGAGCATTTAAAAAATTCAGACCGGCGGACCGCTCTTCACTTTGGAGCGGCAGCCAGCCGTAAACCTGGGACTCCAGCAGCGGAACCGCCTTTACCAGTTTCCTCTGGCGCTCCAACTGCTTCTCCGGATAAGTGTGACGCAGGTAACGCAAAGGATCCGGCGGTTGACGTTGTTCGAACTGGGCGTAAAACTTCCGGGTCAGTGGATAAACTGGAAATCAAGAGGTGGTCATCATCTCGGGACAGTGACATGAGTCTGTAGTTAAGCCCCACTTAGCTTACTCACTGCAACATTTTTAACCTTATCTTAAGGCACAGTACACTCCATTGAATTGTATGAAAATGGGAGTGCACATAACTTTTTTTTTTAAATAGTTTTTTTTTTTGTATGTTGTGACTATATAATTCATGGTAATGAGTTTAATTTAAACATTTTAAATTGAAAAAAAAGGAAGATTTTTATGGATTCAAGTTTCATAAGATTTTCTACAAAATAGTTCCCGTTTAAAAATTCAAAATTTGTCGAAATTTTTTTTGTTTACTATTTGTAATATTTTGAATTCAAATCAATCGGGTTCCTTATTGTGATCACAAAACTATCAATTAATTTAGCTTCTGACACCCTTCACTTACTACTTTTAATAACCAAGCTACTATGAGTTTGGTTTTAAATTGGTACTGCACCTTGGCTCACTGGAACAAATGTTTCGTAGAGTCGGATGTGTCGGTTGGAGCGTTCGATCAGCTCCTTTTCGAAGTCGTAGGGCAATGGTCGGGGATCCCCCTCGTGATGATCCCGCCCCTCGCCATCCTCCTCGGCCTCGTCGCTGGTTTCGAGTCCCGGTTTCATGGTGACCACGCTTCTCCTTACACTCTAGCTATACTATCCAAGGAATCCGTCCGCAGCCCGTGGCGTGCTCGGTTCGTTTGACTTGGCTGCGGACTACGCTGCAGCAAGGACACCTGTCCGTCTGTCCGACAATCCGTTTGTCGGCCGCCTGTCTTTCCGTTTCGGCAGCAACTTGTACTCATTAAAGTTTTCCCATTGTTGCCGGATGACAGGCAATGTTACCAATACTGCACACGCATCCCCACGACGCACCCACCGCCCAAGGAGTTCCCAATGGGGGTCTCCAGTGGGGGTGGGTGTGGGGGTGGGTGTGGGTGTGGGTGTCAGTGTCGGTGGTGGTGTGACCCACAATCACAGTTTCGTCAACGTCAAAGGCGCCTGTCGGGCGAATTTTCCCAAAAGTTGCTGCGGGGTGTCTACGATGGGTGCGATTGGTTCAGGAGAAAGCGAAAGGAATCCAGCCAGTGAAGCGAAATGGCTAGTGGTTGCTTTGTACCGTGGTATTTTAGAAGCTGGTGCTCTTGTGATGTCCAAAAATTTAAAGAAAAATATATATTTTTTGTTTTTTTAATTTTCACCCATATACCAAATTTTATATCGATCGGACTAATATCTTGGTCAACTTAAGAACTCAACTTCCTAAGCCGAAGAAACATTTTGTTGAGAGGGGTACAAATGTTTCTCTTTAAATTTTAAAAGGTTTTCATACCTTTCGCATCACTGTTCCCATCCTGCCAAATATTGGCTCCATTTCATGTCGTTGTCGTAATTTGGTACAAGCCAAAAAACCGAATCCTTGAAGTAAACAGCGATTTCCGAAAATAACCCATTGAAGCGATTGCCGTTGCGTGTCCAAACAATCGCAGCCGCAATCCTCTGGAGCCGGAGGATGAGGTGGCAACCACATCCGCCACTTGGCTGCCGTAATTTTTTATATCCTTTTCGGGTTGTACAACTGGCTCGAAGTCATCAATTTCAGCTTAATCGAATCTAATTGAATCCATAAATACGGAAATAAATCAATTTAATTACAATACAGCCAACAACATTCATTGCAAATATTATAGTTACCATGCACACTCAAACATACGATTATTATAGGTATATAGCCTTAGATGTCTTGAATATACCACCGCAAATGGGGATATATTAATAAATTAATTGCTGGAACAAGAAGAGCCGCTTGACTTTTGGCACTCCTAGCTGAAGGGGTATTCGCACTTGGTTCTTGCATAGTTTTTTTCTTGGTGGATGATCTTAAGTATTCCTACGTCAATTCCCGGAGGTTAATGTAAAAGTACAATAATTCCATCAAAATTACATTTGTGTTAATTAAGGTATTGAGATATACATTTTAAAAACCATAATTTAATATAAACATTTTTTAAAGGCAGTCCCTTTAATAGTATCTTATTACAATTATGGTTAATATGAAAAAGTATCATCGTTTTCAAGAACCATTTTAATTTTTCTGTTAAATATTAAAATTGTATCAGAGCTAAAAATAAAACAAAAAAATCTTTATACATTTAAAAAATGCATATCCAGTTTTGAATCATAATAAATATGTCTCGTTCTAAAACTATAATGATCGGTAGCATTCTGGGAGAATGATAGATCTCTTTCGAGATTGAGGTATATACAAATGCTCCAAAAACTTTCTTCAATCGCTATTCAATTGAACCTCGAAGGGCTAAGATCTAGTACGATCGGAAATGAAAGCTCAGTGAGAATTATATTTGTGGTTGCAGCCACCAGAGCGAATACCCCCTAACTGACTAAATATATATCTACAGATCAGTCGTGTTTAGTTGTCGTAGTGGATGGGAAACTACAGCGGCTCCGGATAGAAGTCCCGATAGGCAAAGCCCTCAATGTACTCCGGCCGGTGGCAGGCGAACAGGTGGTGGGGTAGCTCCTTGTGGGCGTGCTTCTCCAACGCCTTGCGCGTCTTCTCCAGAAGCACGGCCTCGTCGAACTTGACCCGCTGCACTGTGGTCTTCCGCAGGATGGTCTGCACGAACTGCGACCAGACCGAGCCGGACTCCTCTTGTCCCGATCCCGAGTCATCTTCCGTCAGCTTCTCCTTTCTAATCTGAGTTGGCTGCTTTGTCTCCAACTTCTGCTCCTGCTGCCCTGCCTTTTCCACCGCCTTGGCTTCGGTTTGGGCGTAAACAGTGGACGCATCCGCCTTGCTCGGTTGAGGATCTGCACCGGCCCCTTTACTCTTGGCCGGCGGACTGTCCTGCATGAGCGTCTGCAGTCGGTCCACTGTCTCTGCCATTCGTTTCCGAAAGTCCACAATTCGCCGGGCGTAGCTGAAGAGCGCCCGCTCCTCCGCCAGCTTTAGTGGTCTCATCCGTTCCTCCTGTCTTAGCTCGGTGGGTTCCAGCAGTGGGTGAATGCGTACGCCGGCCTCCGCAGTGCCACTAAGGTAGATGCGGATGGCGAACTCCTGCATCGCCGTGGTATTGACCATGGCAATGGCATAGGCATTGCGCACCTTTAAAATAACTTCTCTTATGTTGCGTAGCTGGGGCGATGAGGCATTGACCACTCTCGGCTGAAGATCCTGCGGATCTTGCTCCTCCAAGTGGGCCGGCCTATCCAGGCTGTCCAACACCTCCGCTAAGTGGCTGCGCATCCGCTCACCGTCCGCCTGAAAAGTGAGCAAGCCTAGTCCCTGGATAAGCCGTATGTTGGCCGCAAACTGCTGCTCTAGTTCGTACAGCTGCCAAAGGGATCTCATTCGAGACTCATACTCTTTTTGGGCACCTGTTCCCAGGACACTACTGATGTTGGCATCGTACAATTGCAGGCCTCGGATGAAGGCCACATCCATGGTGTAGTTGCCCATGAAGGCCAGCACATAGTTAAGAGCCTCGGAGGCGCTGCCAAAATTCTCCCGCCGCTGGGCGAAGAATTCGTCAAGATCGCTAACGGTCAATTGATTACGTGGCACCTCGCTTCTTTGCAAGCTTTCGTTCAGCTCCCGCTCTTCCCGTATTCGCTCGAAGTTGCTCACTAGCAGATCCCCGGCGGGCTGCTGAAACTCATCGAACACTTCAATGTCCACGGCCATGGTGGTGCTTGCGCCGGATTGCTCTCGTCCCGGCTCTCCAGCTCTTGCTGCTTCCTGCGCATGCACGTTGTCCTGCTCCTTGTAGAAATACTCGTAGTTCTCCGGTTGACACTGCGGCACCCACTGCTCCTGCGCTGTCACCTGGCGTTCCCTGCTTCTCTCGAAGATCGCCCGCGGACTGAAGCGCTGCAGATCCAACGATGAGTATATGTCCTCCTTGTGGGCGTGACAGCAGTGGATGGCTGACATGTCCATGGGGTGGGCCTCTGTGTTAAAAATGTAGGCACCAGCCTGCACCACGCACACATCATCCTCGGTGGACAGTAGCTCCCCTCCAGAGCCATCGTTGTGCAGGAAGTTGTCCTCGTCGAACAGGAGATACAGGTACTTGCTCGTCTCCGCCAGGAAGAACGACTCCATGCGGTTTTCCTTTTCATGGGTGACCACATTCCGGATCTGGAAGAGATGAGCAGCACGGAAATTACTATTTGAAAACCTTTAAGCGCGAGTCCAGACAACTTCTCACCGTTGCATATCCGCACTTGGTTTTGGCACTAAACTCGAGGGTCTCCAGCATGTGCTCTCCCAGCTCCAGAAGGTACTCATTCCTCGTGGCCCGATAGAGATACATGGCCGATTCGATTAGCTCCGGTCGCAGTGGATACACCTCCCGATTCGGTGAAGCCTCTCCCGCAGCGATGTTGTAGAACTCCGGCAGGAAGCCGTATTTCTTCCAGACTCCAATGTACCTCGAAATGGTGCGCAATGCCGGCTCTGTGTCTCCAACGATGCTGAGAATGCCGGGCCAAAAGGCCTCAAGGGACTGAAAAACGGGCAGGGTGACGTGGCCCTTGTTCATGCCGACCCACACGTACCAGTCCTCCTTGCGCATGTACTTGTCGATCGCCGAGCGGGCTTCGTGAAATAGCTCCAATAGTTCCGGGCGGTTAAGCAGCACAGATGCCTTTACCAGGTACTCGAACAGGGAGTCCACTCCGGCACCAATGCCCGAGTCCAGGGCTGTCCAGCGGCCACTCTGCACGTCGATGTGATTGCCGAAGAGCCCAATGGGCGAGCGATAGGCCCAGAGTGCGTGAACCGCCTGCATGGCCACCTCCTCGTATATGCTGTTGCCGGTTAACCGACTCAGGGTGCCGAATTCGATGAGGAAGGTACCCACGCCCGCCGTACATGTCACGGAGGTCTCGCCTTTGGGCACGCCGTAGCGCAGGTTCACCGTTCCGTAGGGCATGCCCGTGTTCGTGTCGAAGGCGGGCAGCAATCGCCGGGCCACGTCCTCTGCCAGCCGCAGCAGGGGCCCCTTGCAGGGCCATCCCTGCTCCAAGTCAATGCCAGCCCTTTTGGAGAGCAGATGCGCGGACAGCAGGCCGCCAACGATGCGGATGTTTGTCTCGAATACGGATACATTGATGTCCCGGTCGAAGTTCATCTTCTCCTCAAGCAGCTGGGCAACACGTCGGAACTCCGAGAAGTTTCCCATGGTGGCCAGCGTGTCCAGGGCGTCGATCAGGGTCAGGGAGTAGCTGCCCCAGGTATCGTGGCCGTCACAGGTCAGCGGGCGCAGCTCGTCGTAGTTGGAGGCGTGGCGCAGGTAACCCTCGTAAGCGTGCTGAAACATTCGGCGCACATCCTCCCTAGAGGTTGCCATTGGGAATTACTATATAAAGGTGATCCGCAAGCGATTGACCCACCTCAGTTCCAGCTTCCTCGCCTTGGAGTACTGCTTCTGGCCGCTAGCGCCGGTGGCCAGCAGAAGGATCAGGATCCGGACAAGTGGACTTGCGGCCATCTGCTGCATCGTGGAACAGTCAATCAATCAGAGCCGCTAATTCAATTATGGGCATGGTCAGTGCCCTATAGCTAGCGTGGATGTGGATGTCAAATGCGGCTACGTTGTCGCGAAATCAAAACAAGGCAAAAACAAAACAGTCGCGTCGGTTTATGAATACTCTTAACTTTTATTTGTGGCTATCTCTAACTATTTATTTGAGTTCATTTAATTTATGAAAATAAAAAAAAATTCTGGTAGACATGTCAATACAAAAAATAAATGGTAAAACCAATTAAAACAGGAAGAACTAAGCACTAAACTAAACCGGTAAGGAATCGGCTATGCTCCGTGGTAGAGTGCAATCAGCTGTTGCTGCACAAAAACTATCGAAAGGGCAGGGTGGTCAATTCGCATGAGGATAATGGTTAGCCACGGCAAATCACTGTAACATCTTAAATCAGCCACGAATAGCAAATATATTAGCCAACATGTATTTCTAAAATTTAAACGCATGTAATCCACAGTTTTAAACCTAATTTAGTGCTGAAAACCATACCGATTAATCGAGGTTGCCTTACACTGCACGCGCGCCTTTTATTCTTCTACTCGCAGCAAGTTGGCAGCACGGATCTGTGTTTTTTTTTGCCCATTCAAAAGTGTGTGTTCGTACGGGTAAAAAGTGTTTTAAATTCAAAATATTCAGCGAAACAGGCTGCCGACAGTAGAAGCAACTGCACCCAGCGGTGAGTAACTGTCCTCCGTATTTGTTTTAATCCCGGAGATCCTCCGGATGAGTTGGCGAAATGATTCGCAGCCTTTGTTGCGCCTGCGATACAACGAATCACTTTCCTGCCCATGGGCAGCGTTCGTCCTCCTCGGGGAAAAACCACCATCGGGATATCCGTAATCCTGTGGAGGAGGCAATTTATCATGGTCTAGGTGCTCTTTTATATACCCTTGCAGGGGATCCCACCAAATGCAATTGCGTACGGTTAATTGTCCGTTGGGCGAAAAGTAACAACATTGTGAGACAAAACATGTGGGATTGCCCCAGGCTGACCAGAAACCCCATTAAAACAATCCCCTGACCGTTAGACATAAGCATATATCAGTCCGGGGCCTGATTTCAGGCCCCCCGCGAGTTATCTGCAAAATTACTAAGAATTGGAGAAAAATATTAAATTTTTGGAGCAGGGCTGTCGCTGTTCGCATGGCATCGATAGCAGATCGCCCTGACCGACGGTGGCAACCCTACGCGCACACGCAAATCTATCGAAAATTTTTACCCCACGGTCGATAAAACACTTTCGTTGCTTTTTTCCACAGTCGTGTACAAAAAAAGAAGAAAAAGTGCGATTAAAACGAAAATACATAGGGCAGAGTGTACCCAGCGGAGTGATTCGATTCCCGTGGAGTGCGGATTAAAGGTGCAAATATGCCCAGTTTGGAAAAGTGGCCAGCAAAAGCAATAACAAAATAGCAAAAGCAACAGCAACGTGTGTGTGTTGTAAGGTGCTCGAGTGTTCGTGTGTTGGTGTGCTCGGGGGGTGGTGTGTATGTGTTCGCCCGTCAGAACACCCGTGTCCATAAATTAGAATCCAAATCGACATTGAAGCTCCGCCACCGCGATGTCCGTCGCCCAGGATTAATAAGCACCATCATCAGCGGACCATTAAGTTTTCCATATCGAGAGGAAACGGAATCTGAATCGGAATCGGAGGAATCACGCGCCATAGCTACCCCAATACGGAAAACGGCTGAAAAATGTTAGCTAAATGCCAAGTTATCTACAATTATTATGGTTTGTCCCTGTGTGCGTGCCTGTGCTTTAATGTGTGTGTGCGTGCGATAGCAAAAGCAAAATCCGCTCGAATTGCGATGCCAAATTGTCGCCCAATTAATTGATCTTTCAATTGGCGAGGGGGAGCAACTCCCACTCCCACTCCCCGTATTCCCTGCTCCACATGCCATACGGTGTATCCGTTCCTGGATCTCCCATCTCCGATTTTGCTACTGCCGCCGCCGCACATATTGTATAACCCTTGTTTATCTTTGGACATTCCGATTCCGAGGTGGAGTACAAGTACAGTGGAGGCTGCTTGAGGTGGACGCGCAGATAAGGGTTCGAGTGCCGCTTGTTTTGCGGCCTTATCGGCAGAGCTTTACAGGCCACTCCGATTGACATGCTCACATAAACATTGGGACGGGAAAAACCTGACAAGAAATCACCAACACGATAAAGTTCGCTTCTTAAAAGATTGATTTATCAATACGTATTATAAAATACATCAGTCAGTACAAAAAACCTACTTACCCAATACTTTCAGTTAAGAAAACCTTGGTATACCTTGTAAAAGTCCTGAGGCAGCTGCTATACTTCAGTTTATTGTCAAATCCTGTTATTGTTCATTAAATTTATTTGTTCTCATTAAAGTAGTCTTGCTATAAGAACTACGAAGCACATTTTACTTTTCCAAGAATTCAAAGTTTAGAATCCATTTATACCTTACGTAAATATTGATCAAAAAGGAGACTGTTTTTTCCTATAAACTTTCTTTATAATGCTCACAGACTCAATAGGCTTTTATTACAGACTATTTGTCTGTTAAAAAAGATATTTAATTTCAAACCTTTCTAAAGAAATAGAATTCGGAAACTGAAATTTGTTCCTTCACATGTAATTAGGTAATTAGTCTTAGAAGTCTTCCTTTCTACGGTTCTTCATATTGTAGATCTTATTCCAATAAGAATTCCTTTTCATTCTGTTTTAAACAGATATTATAAGGCCTTTTAGGCTGTAATGCACTCACAACCTTCGCTACCTGCTTGGAATACAAATTAATTGAAACAAAACAATCGAAAAACCCGAAAAACCTTAGGTGAGTCACTGATTAGCAGCTTTCACTGTACCACAGAGGCACTCGAACCCGATTTCAATCTCGATTTTTCACGCACACAGTGGTTCGCCATCCACATCCACCCTGTGGCCGTAGGCAAATGTTTACTCAAGAACCATTCTTACAGAGCCCGCAGTAGCAGCACATCGATTTACCAACTCCAGCAGGAGGAAGAGGAAGGCGGCGGAGGAGGAGAAGGAGAGGCAGCCACCGTTCAGATTGGGTGAAGCGCCACCATGGTGAGTACCAATCTGGTGGTGCCAGTGGTGCTGTGGGGACCCACGGCGCCCACTCACTGCATTTCGAGCGTGTTCCTCTCGGACGACCAGTTCACCCTGGTTACCGGCTGCTACGATGGACAGATCTGCCTGTGGCAGGTGGAGCCTACCACCCTGAAGATGTCGCCTCGCTGCTTGCTGGTGGGCCACTCGGCTCCGGTCTTGTGCCTGGTGCGGGCCTCACTCCTGCCGGAGAACAACTTTCTGGTCAGCTCGTCCGAGAACGGCGAGATGTGCACCTGGGACCTCACGGATGGCAAGTGCATGGAGGCGGTTAAGCTGCCGCAGGTGCACACCCAGATCCAGAGCTATCACACGGCCAACAGCGAGGATGTGCGCCTCTTCTGCATTGGTTACTACGCCGAGATCATGGTCATGGATCCCTTCAGTCTGGAGGTGATCTATGTGCTCAGCTCGAAGGTCAAACCGGATTGGATTTCCGCCATTCACGTGCTGCGTCCAATGCGCCGCAAGGATGACGTAGTGCTGGCCATCACCACCACCGGAACCGTGAAGGTGTGGACTCTGACAGGCAACGAGAACAAGCACGCGGAGCCCATTTACGAGAACGAGTCCAAGGAGATCCGCTGCCTGAATGCCATCACCATGAATTGCTGCGCTCAGAACCAGCGCACCGTCCTCCTTGTTTGCACCAAATACTGGCAGATCTACGATGCCGGCGACTTCACCGTGCTCTGCTCCGTGATTGCACCGGCAAGGGAACGATGGCAGGGCGGGGACTTCATCACCTCGGACCGGGTCATGCTCTGGACGGACGAGGGCAAGGGCTATCTGTACAAACTGCCCGCCAACTGCATTCCGGACAACAAGGAGTTCCACTCGAAGAGTGTGGTTAGAGATGCCCCGTATCTGTATTATGTATTGCAGCATGCGGGAGACAAGGTGTTGTCGTGCCCGCCAGCCATGAAGCTGCTCCAGGGCGCCGGGGGTCAGCACAATCTCTTGCGCGGCGACTCCGAGGGCTACATCTCAGTGTGGAATGTGCCGGAAGTGCCGCTGGACAACATTAGCATACTGCAGGCCAAGCAGATGCCGCCGCGCGTCCTCAAACCGCACGTGTGCACCTCCCTGGTGGAGGCGTGGTCCATAATGGACCCACCGCCTGTGGGCATCCTGGATCAGCTGTCCCGCATCACGGAGTCGCCGGTGAAGCTCACCTCGAGCATTTATCTGCCGCAGCAGAGTCGCCTGGTGATCGGGCGCGAGGATGGCAGCATAGTCATAGTGCCAGCCACTCAGACGGTGATGATGCAGCTGCTGGTGGGGATCAAGCAGAACTTCAGCGACTGGCCCTCGCATCAGATCCTGTACGGACATCGTGGGAGGGTCAACTGCCTGCTCTGCCCCTCAATGATTCACTCAAGGTACGAGAAGTCCCATCTGCTCTCCGGTGGAATCGATTTCGCCGTGTGCCTGTGGGATCTGTACAGCGGCAGCTTGCTGCATCGGTTTTGCGTTCATGCCGGCGAGATCACCCAACTGCTGGTGCCGCCGGAGAGCTGTAGTCCAAGAATCCTGAAGTGCATCTGTTCGGTGGCCTCGGATCACTCGGTTACCCTGGTTTCCCTGCAGGAGCGCAAGTGTGTGACCCTGGCCAGCAGACACCTGTTCCCGGTGGTCACCATCAAGTGGCGCCCCTTGGACGACTTCCTCATCGTGGGCTGCTCCGATGGCAGTGTGTACGTGTGGCAAATGGAAACGGGTCACCTGGATCGCGTGCTTCACGGAATGCTGGCGGAGGAAGTGCTTTCCGCTTGCGACGAGCAGGCAGAGGACGGCGGCTCGGGAGGCGGCGGTGGTGGATCTAATGGTGCATCCGCCAGCGAGATGGGCATGGCCAATCCGGCAGTGCACTTCTTCCGCGGCCTGAAGTCGCGCAACATGAATGCTATCCGTCATGCCACCCAGCGTGGCATTAACCAACTCCAGCAGCTTCAGGGCCACAACCAGGGAAACTTCGATTTCCTGATGAAGCACCGCAGCAATCCGCTGGTCATCCAGGGACTGCGCACTAACCCCAAGGACGCTGAGAGCCACATCCTTTTCTTTGACATAGAGGGATTGATTTTTGAACTGCACAGCGAGGAATACGCACAGATGACACCAGCTACTTTAGAATCTCTTGGTGTCCACCTGCAGAATCCCAAGGATGGCAAATCCATGCATCTGGATGCCAGCAAGAAGATCGGTGACTTCTTCAGCAAGGTCAAGAACAAGGCGGTGGATGTGGAGAAGATCTTGAAGGACAAGGACAAGCATGGACTGGTGCAGAAGTTCAAGGAGAAGACGGAGATCGTGGAGAAGAAGGTGCAGGCCAAGGTGGAGAGCCTGCAAAAGGCAGTGGAGCCGCACGAGGAGCAGCAGGACCTGAAAAGCAAGATCGCCTCCAAGATGGAGGTCACGCACGTGATGGAGGTGGCCCAGCTACTGCTCTCGCTACTCCATTCCTGGGGCCTGGATCCGCATCTGGACAAGATGTGCGAGACGCGCCTGGGCCTGCTGCGACCCATTGTGCCCATCTCGTACGGTGTGCTGTCCAAGGCCGGTTACATGTCCCTACTGCTGCCCACGTGGCAAAACAACTATGCCATACCGCCGGGCGTTCACCTTCCTTCCAGCTCCAAGAAGCGACCGCTGCCGGAAGAGCTGCAGCGTTTGGAGCACCTCACCGCCGTCTTTACATCCCGTCTGCACTGGGAGCTGAGCACCACCTTGACCACCAATCACATTCTCGCCCTGGTGGCCATGTCCAACACTCTGCTGTCGATGAGCGCAGCTTCCTTTTTGCCCGACAGCGAGAAGCACAAGAAGCTGCAGCGCTTGGCCCAGCGCACGGACTCCACGTTGAGCAACGAGGAGGAGCGCGAGGAGCTGATGGCCCACCACGTCTCCCAGATCAAGCACGCCTGGAGTCTGCTGGCCACTCACCACTGCTTCTTGCTGCCGGATAAAATTGAGGCCCTGGAGCCAAAGAAATTCAAGCGTCCGCAGGTGGAGATGATGGTCAAGCGCTGGCAGCATCACTGCATCGAGATCAGGGAGGCGGCGCAGCAAATTCTCCTGGGAGAGCTTACCCGCATGGGCAAAAAGGGCCGGAAGCAGCTGGTCGAGAGCTGGGCGCAGTATCTTCCGCTCTACACGCACACGGAGCCCATAGTGGGTGCCCAGCAACAGTTGGCCCTGATCAGTCAGCCGGCCGGAGGAGGCGCTGGATCCGGATCGGGGGGCAATGGAGGAGTAGGCGTCGGAGGTTCCGGCGGCGGTGGCGGAACCGGAAGTGGAGGCGGAGTGGGCGGCAACGTATCGGGAGGAGATGCCCACCAAGATGAAGACTACGAAGAGGAAGAGGAGGAGATCATACGCAAACCATCCAGCTTGTCGGAGCTAAAACGCAAGCAAACCACAGCAGTAATACTTTTAGGTGTCATAGGAGCTGAATTCGGCCAGGATATATCCCAGGATTCGCCGAATCACCGGGGAAGCATTAGTCTGGCCACGGGAGCCAATCTAACCAGTGGCGGAACCGGCGGAGAGCGCAGGAAATCCAGTGTGGTGGAGGGTTTTGGCATAGCCAACAACCTGGCCCGCCTTACCTCGATGGCCCTGGCCCACCTGTTGTACGCCCCACCGTCTCCGAAGTTGCCGCAGTACACGCCCCTGCGGCGGGCGGCCATCGATCTGCTGGGACGTGGGTTCACCGTCTGGGAGCCGTACCTGGATGTGTCCAAGGTGTTGCTGGGCCTGCTGGAGATCTCATGCGAGGGCAAGGCTGTGCCGAATCTAAACTACAAACTCCCACTGACCCCGCAGGCGGACGCCTGCCGGACGGCCAGGCACGCCCTGCGCTTGATAGCCACCGCACGGCCGGCGGCCTTCATCACCACGATGGCCCGCGAGGTGGCCAGGTACAACACCATGCAGCAGAACGCCCAGTCCATCAACACGCCGCTCACCCAGTCCGTGCTGCACAAGGCCAAGGGTGAGATCCTGCAGTGCGTGGAGATGCTGATCGACAAGATGCAGTCGGAGATCGCCGGCCTGCTGGTGGAGGTGATGGACATAGCCCTGCACTGCGTGGACAGCAACGAGCTGAAGAGCCGCGGCCTGGCGGAGCTGTGCCCGGCCATCTGCAAGTTCAACCAGATCTCGCACTGCGCCCAGACGCGCCGCATCGCCGTGGGCGCGAACAGTGGCAACCTGGCCATCTACGAGCTGCGGCAGAACAAGTGCCAGATGATTCCGGCGCACACGCACCCGATCACCTCGCTGGCCTTCTCGCCGGACGGCAAGTACCTGGTTTCGTACTCCTGCGCGGAGAACCGCCTCTCCTTCTGGCAGACCTCCACGGGGATGTTCGGATTGGGTCAGTCGCAGACGCGCTGCACCAAGGGCTACTCCACGGCCCCCATTCCGGATGTGTCGCGCCTGAATCCGATGCGACTGGCCAAGCTGGTGTGGATCAATAATCGCACGGTGACCCTAATGCTGGCCGATGGCTCCGAGACGCGATTCAACGTCTAAGTTGGAAGGAGGAGGCAGGTGGTCGTAGAGAGTCCTGCGGGACATGTAGCATGTTATTAGGCAATCAGCGCGGGCTTCAAAAGCAGCGAGTTGGAGGAGGAGGTGGGGTAGGAGGAGCAGAAACGACAAAACAATAATTATTCAAAAATACAACAAAAAACAGAAACGTCTGGCGTTTCGTTAAAAATAATTAAGGCAAGGGAAACCAAGACAAGCGATGCAACATTAAGTCAAAAACGAAAAACAAAACAAAATTAAGGCAAACGAAATGCTAAGCAAAATTAATGCAAACAAAAATCCACAACACATTTTTTTTATTTATTTATATACTATCCTATATATCTGTATCTGTATGTATTTTAATGTGTTAAACGATTTTAATGTGCCCTTTATTTGCTCCTTGCTACGTCCATTTTATTTTTTAGTGCTAAACTTTTACCCCTACTCTTTGAACACGTGTTTCTGTTTATTGTTACTTTCCAATGCGGAAAAAACAAAAAACTAAATCCAAATATTATCAAAGTAAACAACAATTAACCAGATGCAAGCAAAACAACCACACGAGAAACAACAAAGGAAATGAAAAACGATAAAAAAAAACAAAGAATGAAAAGCTGTTATTATTATTACACAACTATTATTATTACTACTGTATGCTACTATTATTATTATTAATATTTGTTATGCCTAATGTATTGTTATATTATATATCTAAAAGAAACCTAAACAAATGTATTGAGCAAAGTTACGAAACAAATGCGAAACAGCAAAAAGAAAAACAAACACTAAATAATTAGAAAGCGAAAAGTTTTTTTTTAACATATAATTATTGTAATTCCTATATATCTTCTTCTTTCGATGTAAAATTTCTGCTTAAGCATGTGTAAAAAGTCTTTGTTGTTCTGTGAAATTGTATAGGAAAATATGCTTATAAAATACAAAACACCATACATACACATAATTTATTTGCGGCGGTAATATGCATCAAGCGAATAATGGTATTTGGGGGCCTGAGAAGTCAACTGTTAAACCCAGAAATGCCTACAACTTTACTAGAAAAACTATTTATCCTAATTATATCCATATACCCAACTGAATTTGCAGTATGTGTTCGTTTACGTATTCAATACAACACAAGCAAACACACGTGTACTATGTGAGAGAGTTAATTGAGAAATGTATTTGTGCTTAATTTCAATTACGAATTATATATATATATTTACAAGCAGAAGATACATGCATACTTATATACGAGATCCTTCAATCAAAGTATTACACAAACAAAACGAAACGAAGCAACTAAAACAATTATGTACGGAGTATACAACAAATAAAGTCAACCAAACATGAGCAAATTTGTATTTTCTATTGGGCTTTTATTTAGTGCGACCAACGCCTGGATTGAAGCACATCCGACGGTGTGACCATATTTTTATCAAAAGTTAAGTACAGTCATCCACTGTTTCCAGATCTCTGCAAGAGTGGAGTTAAAGTACCCTTTGGCTCTCATTTTAAACACAAGATTCGAGTAAATCATGTTGGAAATAGTTTAGCCGAACAGCATATGGGGCTAATGACACCCACATATCAAGTTAAAAACAAATTATACCTTCGGGGACTCATAGATCAGATCATAAACAAAACAAGTTTTACAATTTTGGCAATGCGCAAAGGACAGTTTGTTCGGAATTCGCGTTTCTTGTCTTTTCCTTAAAGTCAAACCACAAGCCGCGAATTCTTCAGCACATAAAAACATAGTCATGCTTGTATCTTACAATGATAGATAAATAATGAATTGAAAAAGAAGGGAACTATGACTTCACTCTTGCAACTGTAACTATGAATTTCACTAAATTTATTTGCATTACTTACACATAAGACATTCTTTCGATTCCTTCTTCATTCTTCCTCATTTGACCAATTGTTTGCTCTTTGGATTCCAGCTCTTTGCTCGACCAGTGAGAATGCCCGTCGCAGAAGCCCAGAAAGGCCGGGGCAGGAAGGCAACCGCTTCCGTATCCGCAGCCGCCGCCCGAAGGCAATCCGCTCTCAGCGAGGAGGAGGATGAGGCCAGCATCGTCCAACGAATGGACCAGGACGACGAAAGCAACCGCGACGATCCCGATTTTGACGAGGGCGAAGAGGAGGAGGAGCACATTGACGATGAGGACGAAGACGAGGATCCGGACAGCAACGCGACCAGCGAACCGGAGGAGCAGATTGAGCCGCCGTCTTTCAGCCTGGCCACGCTGGGCCTCCAACGCGTGGGCAGCGCTCCGCCGCCCAAGCCCAAGGTGCAGAAGGCCCCGATCCTGACTCTAAACGCGCGCGGCATGCCCGCCCGCATACGGAAGAGGAACAAGCTCTTCTACGACGACAACATAATCAACGACGACAAGCCGCTGCGCATGAGCTTGGCGCCCAAGAAAATGCCCGGCAGACCGCCGCTCTCCGCCGGCGGAGGCTCTGCCCAGAAGAGCCCACTCACGCCATCCAAGGTGCTGAAGAAGCGCAAGGGCGTGGTCTCCCGCTACATGCGTTCCAATGAACAGGGATCCAGCCCCAACTCGGCCAGCAGTCAGTCGCAGCAGGTGGGCAAGCACAAGAAGACGCCAACGAAGGCCCAGTCAGTGGGCAAGCTGCCTTCAGCCAGCAAGCTAGGCTCCGGGGCACTGAAGTCGGGCAGAGGTGCCCATCTGATTGGCAAGGGTGCGGCTGCAGCGGCAGCAGCGGCCGCCGAGGAGGAGGCCAGTCAGGCGGAAGCCACGGCCCTGGCCAACAAGCGCTTGGGCCAGTCCATTGGCCTGCGACTGCGCAATCTCCTCAAGCTGCCCAAGGCGCACAAGTGGGCCATAGCCGAGTGGTTCTACTCGTACATCGACAAGCCACTCTTCGACTGCCGGGATGAGTTTATGAACCATGTGAACGAGCTGGCCCCTCGGCTAAACACCCGGAGCCTCAATCGCCACGAGTGGGTGAACATCAGGCGGCGGATGGGAAGACCCCGGCGCTGCTCCGCCAACTTCTTCAGTGAGGAGCGCAAGGAGCTGGACAGGAAACGCCAGTTGATGCGCACCCTGCAATCGCGTAAGCCAGGCGAGTTCAAGGACTCCATGCTGCTGTCGGATATGCCGGAAAAGATACCGATGCCCCTGCCGCTGGGTACCAAGGTAACCGCCAGATTGAGAACGCCCCAGGATGGAATATTCGCCGGCACAGTGGCAGCCTACGATTCCATGAACTCCATGTATCGGGTGACCTTCGAGCGACCCGGCCTGGGCACCCATGCCATCCCAGACTACGAGATTGTGTCGGAGAACTTTCACGAGATGCTGCCGCTGCACAGCTTCACCAAGGACTTCCGGCCGAACTTGATGAGCATCTATCAAACGAACAACCTGGGCTTCACCACCAATCTGGGATTCACCGCCAATCTTACGAGCAACTATCTGCAGAAGAAGGAAAAGGCAGCCGGCGGCGGAGGAGCGGGATCAAACTACTCGAGGCCGCAAAAGCATCTGGCCAGCAACAATGCGGCTGCGCGGAATGCGCTCAGCATGAAGCTGAACAAGAGTGATCCCCTGCTGGGACAGGATTCCGTGGGCGAGAGTCCCATCCGGCAGCAGTTGGCCCGGCATCACGCCTACTCCAGCACGCTGCTGGAGCACCTGGTGCACCTGGAGAAGCACATTGCGGTGAAGGCGGACCGCATCCAGCGCCTGAACAAGATGAACGCCACCGCCGAGCTGGCTATGGGCGAGATGATCAGCCAGGACGAGAACGGGGATCGCCATCGCCGCCAGATTGCCGACAACTTCCAGCGGCAGTATGCCTTCAACATTGTGTCCATCGAGCGCATCAATGGCGAGCTAATGTTCGAACTGACCAAGGTGCAGGAGATGTCCACCAGCCTGACGCGCAATCCCAACGTGCAGGCCATGATCTCGCCGACATATCTGCGCGAAGAGTGCCGCGCCAAGGCCTCGCAAACGGTGGACGACATCAACAAGGGAATGGTCAAGAATCCGCGAATGATACGGCTGCTCAAGAACCTCACCACGCTGCTGATCGTCACCCAGAATCTCGGGGGCGACTGCGACGTGAGCGAGGTCAACAAGGTGCTCGAAGGCTGCCTCGAGGAAGTGCGCAGCAACCTCTTTTGCAGCGACAACAGCGAGGTGTTCCAGAAGAGTGTTCAGGTGCGACTGGAGTACATAGCCATGGACATAAGCAGGAGCCTCGAGGAGCACAGTCGCACGGCGGAGAACAACGATGATGTCAAATCGCCGCTCAAGTCGGAGGAACACGATGACGAGGACGACATGGACGAAAATCGCGTGCAGGATCACGAGCAGGAGCCGGAGGAAGCCGCAGCAGACACCTCAAAAACGAGAACGAAAGGCAGACCCAAGAAGGTGGATAAGAAAGATCAGGCCGAAGCTGGCAAGAAAGTCCAGAAAGATCAGCACATGGACACGGACGCCGAGGAGGAGGAGAAGCTGGACTCCGACGAGTCGGACAATGCAGAGCATCTGAATCAGCAGCAGCAGGACGACGAGCACGACACGGAGGAGCAGCACCTGGAGCCGGAGGAGCAGTCGCCCATTCCGGCTGCCACCGAGGACACGCAGATCACCATTGAGTCGATGAAGGAGTCCGACGATGAGTTCCAATCGACCGCTGAAACGGAGGAGGAGGACGATATGGCCGGCCTAGAGCAGCTGAAAATGGAAGGGGAAGAAGGGGAGGAGGATGAGGACTATGTCTACGCGAAGTAGCCTCCTGAGGATTGACCGAGCTCCATCTTTTCGCTTTTCGAATACCTACACTTTCCTATTAGTTTATTTTCCTTCGTTCGGTGGTTCCATTCTATGGCCCCCTGGACGAAGGTTTAAACGCAAGTGAAAGTGGAAAAATTCGAAGAAAGCGTTGCAATAAAATCTGTAACAAAATTACCCACACGGCATTGGGATTCTTTAACGTTTTTTTTTATATATAGCACAGAGTTTGTAAAAATGTGTATTTACAATTTCAAAGAATAAAAAAAGTATAAAACAATATGTTTTTTAATTTCCACCTACTTCCTATATTGGTCCCTTCTTTTCCACTATTGGGCGATGTAAACCTACATTTTGGATAAGTTCTTCAATTTCTAAGACTTTAACCAACTCATGATAAATTTGCATTAATTACATTTTTTATTTATTTGTTTTGGTGAACCATTTCATGGTTCGCACTTTAACAACTAGAAGAGGAGAGTCGCTGGATTAAAAAAAGTGAAAAATGGGGGCCGTCATTTCTTAATCCTCCTCATCGTCGTCGTCCTCCTCCTCTTCACTGGACTGATCCAGCCAAGCCACGAGCTTTGCCAGGCTCTGGCGCAGATGCGCATGCTCCTCCTCGTCCAACTGCTCGAACCAGGCCTGGATGGCATCCTCGGACACGAAGTCTTTGTCGTACAGGTAGTGGACAATCTGCGAAATCTTCTCCCGCACCAGAGCATTTTCCTCGTACACATCCTGTGGGTAATGGGGAACGTTAAATGGCTTTTAGGGCAACCAGGATAAAGGAATCACCTCCAGCGCCTTGAGGCAATCCAGCATGGAATCCTCGCTCTTAATGTAGTTGGAGACAACCGGTCCCAGTTGCTTAAAAGCGGCACTTATGGCCACTAGAACGTTGTTGTTCGCCGGTTCCAGGATGCTCTGCATGCCGAATACTGCCTTGACCACATTAAAGTTAACCTCCTTGAGGGACATGTTGTACGCGTAGCGCGAGGAGTTAATTTCGAGGATGAGGAAGTCGGGATTCGACTTCTCCCGGAAGCCCCGCGTCAAGGAATCGATCACCTCGCCCAGGAAAACTGAGATATGCGATGGTTAATTAGGTTGATTAGACTGTCATTTCTGTTGCACTCACTGTTTGTGTCATCGGGCAGGGGCGTCACCGCTCGGGAGCCATCCTCGTCGTCCTCGCTGAGGTCGCTGCAGTAACTGATCTCGTCCAGCGGCGCCAGCAGGTCGCCCATTTTGGGTATGCTTAGTGGTTGCTGTGGCAAGAGATCCTCGCCATCCGAGTCCTCGGGATCACCAGTTGTCAAATCGCTGACAATGAAGGCATGTGGCCCAATAGACTCCAGTTCCACTGCAATCTCCTCCTCACTGCGCTGTGTGCTGGGCGTGCTGGTGACGAGAGTCTTTGTCAGCGTTGTCTTGGCAGGCAGCACGCTCTTCGCCCCCAGCACACAGCCCGCGCTCACGTCGCAGTTCTCGTTAATGGTGGCGCCCGCACCCACCACGCAATGCTCCAGCCGGCAGTTGTCCTTCACGGTGACATCGGCCATAAGGAACACATTGGTCAGCCGGCAGTTCTTCCCGACGCGGCAGTTGGCCCCGATCACGCTGTCACTGATCACCGACCCACTGTCCACATGACTGCCCGCCTGGATGACCACGTTCTGCTGGAGCGCCACCTTCGACACCTGCGCCCCGTGGCTCTTATATATGTTGTCCTTGTGGAAGACGTACTGCTGCTGCAGCTTGTAGACGCCCATGTCAGGAACGAGCGGGTAGGCCCACCGGTTGATTATGTCCCGGCTGACCAGCTGGTAGGACGGCCAGTTGTTCACCTTGTGCGCGTACTGGGCGGTCGGCAGCAGGGCCACGTATATCCTGCTATCCAGCAGCTCCTCGTTGATCAGCAGGCCTCGCACAAAGTCATCCCGCGTCTGGAAATCGAAGTTGTCGCTGAACAGCGACAGCATGGAAGGCGAGCCAATGGCAATCTGCGGATCGAGAAGGTTGTGGTGCAGCGCCACACACGAGTTGCCCAGAAAGACGTCCAGCGGTATTTGGTAGCGCGGCTCCTTCTGGTGCATCCTCAGCCGCTGGTGGTAGTGCAGCCTATCGTTGCGGCGATCCACGGCGATCAGTACCTCGTTGCCGGTCCGTAGGTTGTTGGAGCACTCCTTGAACACCAGAGTGGCGGCGGTGCCCTTGTCGAACTTGGCCTGACGCTTGTGCTGCTCCAGCACTGGACGCAGATCGGCATTCGTCACCGTATCAGCGCCCAGAAGAATAAAGTTGCCACGAATGAGTGCCTTGGCGTCCAGGTCACGCATGGCATCGCCGAAACAGCGACAGCCCTCGCCGCCGATTACATGGACGGTCATCTTAAAGGACCAGGAGGCGTACGTGGCAATGCCTGCCCTGCAAAAACGAGAAACCAGCGTTAATGCCACAATTGCATCATCCTGCCGGCAACTCACTTGATGTGATCCCGGATGTCCTGAAGGTAGAGGCTGGCGTACACAAACACCTCCTCCACCCCGCTGCGATTGAGGGCGATGAGTGCGTAGTCCAGCATCCTTACATTAACCAGGGGCAGCAGAGCCTGCAGAGAAACGGGCGCAATTAAACGATCGCTGTTCGAATGCGACTCCCAAAGGAAACACCTACCGTGGAGCCCTCGTCGGAGAGGGGCTTGAAGTTCCACACATTGTTGTCGGCTATCAGCACCGCCTGCACAATTTCCTTCTCGAATTGGGCCATTTCTTTCGGTTTGGTCTTGTTTTTGGGGAGTAGTTTCCCCCACACCACGCTCGTTGTTGTTGTTTTATTGCTGCGGCAATCTGTGTGACCGGGTGTGGTCGGTACAAAAATCCATGTTGATATTTAGCAAAGTTATCAACCATTTGTTATATCTTTATGAAGATGTAAAGCGTTCACACTTTCCGGAATGCAGCTTAAAATAACATATAGCCTGATTTTAATTTGTAACATTTTGTATGTACCTGATTCCATTGGCACATCTCTTTAATGTTTAATATACACAATTTGAGCGGCACCCCCGGTCGGCTTGCTTCGGTAAGTGTAAGCAGTCTATTAGCCGCTATCGAAACTAAACCTTCGATAGTGTGTCGCACATTCGCCATATCGATAACATGGTCAGTGATTAAGCCAGCTCTATCAGAAAACAACAACAAAAACGGCTGGCGCACAGATAGCCCGGAAAATAAATCGAAACAAATAATGAGCCGTAATTAGCGCGCGTGCCAGTTTGTCTGTGAGCAGCGCAACCCCGCATCACCCGGGTGAGGAAAGGAGAGATTCGCTGAAGCGGAGTGGAGTGGAGTGGCAATTATTGTCATCGCATTACCGATGAATAAGTGCCTCTGCGAGTGTGAGCGTGTGTGTGTTTAAGATACACCCACCTTGAGGGACAACAACAATAAATCAAGCGAGAAAACAAACAAGCGGCTGCGATTACCCACGATTACGGCCACGGTTACAGTTACGCAGCCCAAGAGCAGGGTCACCCGCCCAGTTGCTCCCGTGGCTCGCCCTTGGCACCAGAAATAAGAAGCCCCCAAGAGAACAGACAATTCCAATCCGATCCGATCCGATCCCATACGAATTCCAATAGCTGGGCGTTCGCGCCAACTATAAATAGAAATAACAACAACGCAGCAGCAAACAACTGTCCATATCCATATCTACATACAAATATTGACGCAGAGGAAGAAGCCCTCAAGTATTACTCTTCATTCCGAGATTAAAGCAGCAGACATTTGCATTCACCAGCAAATAGGCAAATAGAAGGAAGAGGGGGAAAGAAGGCCTTCCAGCAACACGATACCATATCAGAACGAAATGGACACGGTAGGGGAAAATGTCCCCAATGGAACCGCTCCTGCAGCCCCAAAAACAACCATGGATATTGTCAAGGAGCGATTTAAGGAAGACGAAACCATAGAATACGTAAGCGAATATTAGAAATCCAAACAAGAGCTTTAAAGATGATAATTAACTACAGATTCTAGGTAAAAAAATCATAGATTTAGAAAGCCACACTATTATAATCATGTGATAACAATTCTAATTTTAAATAGTTTTTAACAAATTATGAAAATGACTTGTTATCTAAAAGGTGAATAAACGCATACAGCTTCTCTTTGCAATATTTATATTATAAATAAATAAAGGTCAATGCCGTAAAATCATAATTGATGCAATAAATTCATTGGGAAATCCTCCTTTCAATTTATCAATGACTAATGTCTTTAAACATATTGCTTAAACATTTCTCAAACATATCGATAAAAAGGCAAGTCTACTGGGGGACATACCTTTTTTCATATATATATGCTCGGTCGCCGATAACAGAGCTTTAATTAATGGATTCCATCTTTTACAGATATTCGAGGCTTATCAGATCAAGGGTCCCGAGTATACTAATCGACTACTGGCGCTTGTGTCCTCGAAATCGGGCGGAACATTCGCCATCATCGCCTTCTCCTACCTGCGCACTCCGCTGACCTCCGTGAACGAGCTGATCATCAACAAGGTGTTCGCTATCGACCACAATTTCCAGCTGCGGCAGGGTAAGAAGTCCCTTTGGCTCAAGGATTGGGCTAAGTTGAAGATTCCATTACCCCCTTTCTAAAAAAATAAACGGCTGTCAAAAGCTTAACAACTTAATGTATATATACGGCTAATTATAATTGAATTTGCAGTTGTAACGCCTGTTTACCATTTTAAATAGTTGACAAATATTTAACTCACAGCTTTGCACTGAATAGTAACTATTTGCAAAGTAGGCACCTAATCAATAATAGTCCGCATCTAATTATCGGCAAGTAACTTAATAGCTGTGCATTTACGTAAAAAAAATATTAGAAATATTTGTCTTGTTTAGATTAAAACTAATAGATCTGAATAACAAAGAAGCTAGTAATAAAAAGTTCAGTTTACCACCGCTTTGTTTGTCATATTTATCATTCTCCTGGTTCTATTGCAGATAGCAAAAGCTCGATCACCACACAGCAGTTTGACTTGTCCACCGCCGAAGATGGCCCCATCAAGTACTACTACTATGCCACGGAAGGCGACCACTACGAGGAGTTTGTGGCCAAGGTGATCTCCTTTAAGAGCACCATGGCACAGCACGATCCCGAAACGGTGCTCAACTTCAGGTGGCTCAACGACTATCGTCAGATCGGCGAGGTGAAGCAAGAGCTGAAGAAGCGCGAGAGCGAGTACATTGTTTACAAGGATATTATGTGAGTTCTTGCTTCCCTGTCAAGCAAAAGTCCCCCCTCACTGGTTCATTCCTTGCAGCATCTACTGTGCCACTTGGAACGTGAACAACAAGACCTGCAGCGACAGCAGCAATCCGCTGCGACCCTGGCTGGCGTGCAGCGAACAGCCGCCGGATATCTACGCCATTGGACTGCAGGAGCTGGACACTCCCACAAAGGCCATGCTGAACTCAACCCAGGTGCAGGCCATCGAGAAGCAGTGGATGTGAGTGTTCGTGCGATTGTCTGGCCCCACAAGCGTCAAAATTGTCTTTCCCTTGGCAGCGATAAGATGATGGACAGTGTCCACCCAGGCGTAGAGTACGAGATCCTGATGTCCCACCGCCTTGTGGCCACCATGCTGACGGTCATCGTGCGCAAGCAGCTGCGACAGCACATCATTCGGTGTCGCCCCAAGTCGGTGGCCCGCGGCATCTTCAACACACTGGGCAACAAAGGGGGTGTGGCCATCAGCCTGCAGCTCAACGAGGGCAACATCTGCTTCGTCAACTCCCACCTGGCCGCCCACATGGGCTACGTGGAGGAGCGGAATCAAGACTACAACGCCATCGTGGAGGGAATTCGCTTCGATGACGGACGCACTATCAGCGATCATGAGTGAGTTCGTGAGATTTATGTTTAATTGTTGTCTTAAACCACATAAAATCATAGAAGTTTATTGATTATTGATTATACTTATAAATACTTATAAATATTAGAGAGAAGGAAAGGACACAAATGCAACCACCTTAACATTAAAGAAGCAATTTATGAACTGAACTTACTTGATTTGGCATCTCTCTCTTTTCCAGTCACATCTTCTGGCTGGGCGATTTAAACTATCGCATTCAGGAGCCACCCGGACAGCAGAGACCAGGACCGCTGAGCGATGCCCAGACCTACGAGCTCCTCCTGCAGTACGACCAGCTGCGCCAGGAGATGCGCCGCGGCAAGTGCTTCGAGGGCTACACCGAGGGCGAGATCAAATTCCGACCGACGTACAAGTACGACCCAGGCACGGACAACTACGACAGCAGCGAAAAGCAGCGTGCGCCGGCCTACTGCGACCGCGTCCTCTGGAAGGGAACGCGCATCGAGCAGCTGGCCTACAACAGCATCATGGAGATCCGCCAGAGTGACCACAAGCCCGTGTACGCCGTATTTCGGGTGAAGATCAAGACGCGCGACGAGGTCAAGTACAAGCGGGTACAGGAGGAGGTGCTCAAGGCGGTGGACAAGCGGGAGAACGACAACCAGCCGCAGATCAATGTGGAGAAGACGGTGATCGATTTTGGAACAGTGCGATTCAACGAGCCAAGCACACGGGACTTCAACGTCTACAACAACTGTCCGCTGCCCGTTGACTTCAGCTTCAAGGAGAAGGACATCCACGCCATCTGTGAGCCTTGGCTACATGTTGATCCTCGCCAGGACTCGCTGCTGATCGACTCCGCCCGCAGCATTCGGCTGAAGATGCACGTCAATGTCCGCACCATTGCCGGTTTGCTACGCAAGATCCGCGTCAGCGATAACTTTGACATTCTCATCCTGGACGTGGAGAATGGTCGGGACATCTTTATCACGGTGACCGGCGACTACCAGCCCAGTTGCTTCGGTCTCTCTATGGAGACGATGTGTCGCACCGATCGCCCCTTGAGCGAGTACTCCCAGGATCAGATCAAGCAGCTAGTGAGTATTTTTAATTTGTAAATATGTATTTTCAAAACCAGTTAGGTTTTTAACGAAAGCCAATACAAATTAATACAGGCTTATACACATCGTAGTTAAATCAAATAACAAACTATTTAAAATGTTCGCATTCACTTATTTCGAAAACTTTAAAATGAATGGCTGACTTACAACCACTATCAATCAAGTGCAAATATTAAACGTCAACACAACTTCCCTTGCAGATGAATAACGAATCCCCGGAGTATCGCGTGACCATGCCGCGGGAGTTCTTCCTACTGATCGATTATCTGTACAGGCAGGGTTCCCAGCAGGAGGGTGCTTTTCCCTCCTACGACTCGCGACTTTCGCTCGGCGCTCAGTTCAACTCGGTGCGCGACTGGCTGGATACCTGGTCGGATGAGCCATTTCGTAAGTGTATTTTATACAGTGTCCTTATACAAGCATTCATATTTTCTGTTTACGATTTGCAGCTGCTAATGCGGAGACTGCTGCGCAGGCGCTGCTGCTTTTGCTGGATCTGCCGGACCAGGCACTGTTGGAACCGGTGGTCGAGAACCTGCTAGAGTGCACCAACAAGTCGCAGGCCATGGACTACATATCGCTGCTCAGTCCGCCAAAGAGGAACGTCTTTATGCACCTGTGCATGTTCCTGCGCGCAGGCATCGAGAGCCAGTATTACGATCTACATCAAGTCGGTGCGTAGAAGTGATCATTGATTGTTTATCCTTGAATTATCTAAGCAACTTGCTATCCTTGCGCCCGGACAGCCTCCACCTTTGGCCGTATCCTGCTGCGCAGCACCGAGCGGGCCGCCTGGATGGACTACCACAGCCGCTGCATCCAGTTCATGCGGCTCTTCATCGACTCCGACGTCGAGACAATGGGCAACAGCAATGAGGGCGCCGGAACTGGGACGGGATCCGGATCCGGGGCCAGGGCCGGACTGCAGGCATAGTCGCCGGACCCTAGTCCCGACACTGTTGATAGTTATCTGAACACATAGTGTTAGGCTATTTATTTTACTAGTTGGTACTTTGTTGGCACTTAGCATTTATGTATATTTCTCTGTTTTACCTGTTAATTGTTTGTGCCCGCCTTCCGTTCATTCCAACTCGGTTGCCCCCGTCTCGCATCCCGGAATCACCTGGTTTTTGTTATAATCACATACATGCATCACCAAATCTCGAAGAAAAAGTCGACACTGCGGATCCATCTATGAACGATAAAGTGCAGAGGCTTGTGTAGTAGAAGGCCACCGTAAAAATGAATCTATTGTATAAATAGGTAATACGAAACGTTCTGCACACCCGTTTAATCAATGTTAAGTTGAACACGATTGCTTGTTAATTTAGAATAATATTGCGTGACCCCCAAAAACCCGGTTTCAGTTCCAACTGAAAATAAATAACACATACAGTTTCAAATTTGTTCACTTTTTTTTAATATGTACAATGTTTATTGTACATCCCCTTCTCTTCCCTCTCTAATAACGAGTCCTGAAAAAAGTCGGTTGTGAAATTTATTTCTGTGCTCACGACCAAAATTTAAAAGAAAATGAAGACTTCCTAGAATTAACAAAATTCCACAAAACGATCTTTTAATTGTTTCCAATGTTCGAAGAGTTTTACCTAAAGACATTATAACTATTGCAGAAAGTATTATAATTTCAGTGAAGGAGACATTTCCGACCATTTACATATATATATTCTTGATCAGCATAAGCATCAGAAATAAACTAGCCATGTCCGTCTGGCTGTCCCAAAAGCTTTACCCATACATTATTCAAAACTGAAGAGATCCATTACCAATAAAATCTACAAAAATCCGTATATAAGTAAAGTATCATTTAGATTTTTGCCAATCAAAAACCAAATTCACATTTTCTCCCGAATCAGATTTAATTCAATTGTTAAGTTTATAAACATTTAAAAAAAAGCGCCCAAGGTAGATTGAGGTCGAAAACGATCGATTTTTGCAGATATCGATGATTTTGACAAACAACATCGATGTTACAAATTTGAACAACAAATTAGCATTTCGTTTTTTTCACATATATATAAAATAAATTATTGGCTGTACTTCCTGAAAGCTCCTTCAATCTCTTTCAAATTTCTGGAATTTTTTTGGGGACGAATAATTATTTTTGGTTTAAAAAAATTGTTCAAACAAATATTTAATTTCGGATAAAAAAAGCCCTGACAATCCATTTTTAAATTTAAATTAGAATCGATGTATTTTTTGGTTACGAATAATTAGGTTGAAAAAACGGAGCTTGGCCATAACTCGATAGCAACATAATTTGACGCAGTGTGGACCCAGCCTTAGAGATGATGCCCGCCAAACATCGATATTACCGATGTTAGCATCGATGTTTCTCCACCTCTACCTTGGCTCCAAAATAAAGAGACTAAAAATAAAAAAAAGCATGCAAAGGACAGAGTTTTGGACACAACTAGTTTAAATTTTCGTTGACTCCGTCGCAGAAGCGCCCAGATGAGCACCATGGACTGCGGCATGTTCCCCATGCATCCCAAAATGGACGAGCAGCTCTCCAAAGCATTCACCGCCAATGAAGAGGAGGAGGAAAAGCACATCCAGAAGGTGCAGAACGCCTTCCTCTACTACGGGTGGGTATTTTTGTTGCTGCTTTGGGGAAAATGCCGCCTCCACCGGCTAACGGTCAATGGTGACGGGGGCGTGGCAGAGGCCGGGTGAAGCGGGAGCAGCAACATGTGCAGACAAGTTGTCGACAAACTTGAGTTTCGTGCGTGCATGTCAGTGCTGTCAGTGCGGGTGGATTCACGCTGGTAGCTTTTTTAAATGTTGGCGCTAATATCCGTTAATAGTAGAAAAAAGTCTTGCTAATTTTTCTATTAGATTTTCGGTTAAGGATAGTGTCAATAAATAGTGGTGTGAAAATTCTATAGAATGTGTACTATTATTTAATATTTTGTTGTAGAGTTTTTTATTTGACATTATATTTTATAAAAAAAAATTATTTTTGACACAGCATTGCAAAGTTAAATTATATTTTTATCGTTTTAAACAATTATTTGTTTATGCCTAGTCGACAAAATCTAGAACTCCAGCTTTCGTTTTCAGTTACCCCGCTTTGTTTGAGTTAGGTCTGAAATCCCGTCATCGCTGGTGATAAGCGTCCTTGTCGGCATTAAGTGGCATCGACTGATAACGAAAATCAATTAATTCTCCCGTTTAGGCCATATGCGTGCCAGCGGCTAAGGCGCTCCATGGATTACCTGGACAGCCTGTCTGGAGAGGATCAGCACATGCTGGCCAAGTATCGAGGGCATCTGGAGTGTGTGCGCACGTGTATTGATCGCAACCAGGCGGTCATCCGGGAAATTCTGCGGGAGCGCGTCCTCTATCCGGCAGAAGAATCGACCACCAATCCATCGGCGGACCGGTGGGAGTTTGACGAGCCGCCGCCAAACGTGAGGCACGGTGATATGGACCAGGTAAACGGCTGAAGCTCTACAATCTAGAGTCTAAATCTTTGGGGAACCCAAAACACACTTCTTAAAACCCAAACACCAATCCACCAAACATTCATTTTCATCTAAGCACTACATACCAAATAGTTTTCCTAACGTTTTGTAAAATGTTTCCAAAATTAAAAAGTAAATCATGCGTTTTCGTCAACAACTATCTATCTTTTTGGCTTAAATTCCTTTAAATTATATACTCAATAACAAATAGTCAATATATCTATATTTTTATAAGAGAAAATTACAAAAATCAATTTTTTCCAATTAAGTACACATGTCATTGGATGTTTATTATATCCTTCACATTTAATTATAAACTGTAGTGTTAATTAAAAAACGGCTGAAATTATTCGTATGTGCTTATTTTTCCACCATTATATTCAAAAAACCTAAATCCTTTAGTTCTTCTTTTCGGCAATCATATTCCTATTCTTTACGTTTATCTTCCTTATCTGTACACGACTCCCGCACCCTGTATCTCGCACCCGCTCTTATTCAACTCGCAGAATGATATTCCATTCGATGAAGCTGACGTTGAACCTCTCAAAATTTTAAAGGCCCAGTCGACGTTGAAGTTGATTGCGCGCGACTGGAGCACCGATGGCGCCCTAGAGCGGGAGCAGTCCTACAAGCCGATCATAGACAGCATCGTGGAGTACTACAAGCCCGGCGATTAGTGAGTAATTCAGCCGCAGAGTCTTCATGTTTAATTATTTTAATATTAATTTCCTTTGAACAGCGAGTTGAAGGAGATTAAGATCCTGGTGCCGGGAGCGGGATTGGGACGTCTGACCTACGAACTGGCATGCTTGGGATACTCGTGCGAAGGCAACGAGTTCTCTTACTTTATGCTGATCGCCTCCAATTTTGTCCTCAATCTGTGAGTCAACTTCAGTTTCGGTACTGAAATCCGCTCTTTTTTTTATCTAAAGCTAATTATTTAATATGTTCTGGAATTGGTAGCTGCGACTACGAGAACAAATACGTGCTGTACCCGTGGGTGCATCAGTATGTGAACAACCTGAGGCGCGAGGATCAAGTGGCCGCCGTTCGCTTCCCCGACGTCTGCCCCCTGAAGAATCCGCCCAAGGGCCACTTTGAAATAGCCGCAGGGGACTTCCTGGAGGTTTACAAGACGCCGCACAGCTACAACTGCGTGGCCACGTGCTTCTTTATCGATTGCGCCAATAACGTGATCGACTTTATACGCACCATTTACAGGTGTGGCAAAGGTCCATTTATTGCATTATAGTTTTAACTAACACATTTTCCCTTTGCAGAATTCTCGTGCCTGGTGGCATATGGGTGAATCTCGGACCGCTTCTGTATCACTATAGCGACGTCAGCGGACAGAACAGCATTGAGCCGACGTTCGAGGACCTTTGCATCATTATGGAGAGCGTGGGCTTCGTGATCGAGAAATCGCGCACGGGCATTCGCACCAAGTACGCCCAGAACCCTTCCTCGATGAAGCAAAGCGAGTATGAGAGCCTATTCTGGGTCTGTCGCAAGCCGGATCCGTTTGAGGAGCAGCGGGGCAAGCGCAAGGCCTCCAGGGAGCCACACGATCTCATTGTGCGAGAGGACAGCGTGGAGGAGACGCCACCGCAACAGCAGAAGCAGCAACCCACGGCCAACGATGAGACTGAGATGGCCCAGCCAACGTGATAGCCATTGACCAAACCCAAAACCACACCCGAACCCACCTACGGATGCCATCACCAACACCCTAATCATCAAGCCACAGGCTAGACAGGGAACTCGAATTAACACTATAATGATTCGATGTTGTAGATTACATGTTATACCTCTATTCTTTTTTTTGTAAACCGATTTTTGAATTTATCATGATTATGGAAAAGTAAAATTATCTAATTAGGACAACCAAATATACCGACACAAAACATTAAAAAAATAATTGCTCAATTAGTTTATTTAATTTACTAACTTAAACGTGGAATTGGAACTGAGATTTGTAAATACTATTTCTGCAAATGCTAAATTACTGTGAAGTCTTTTATTTAATAATGAAATATGTAAAAATCAATATGTATATCAGTCACGCACTTAATTTCTGATTCATATGTTAACTTTAAACAACACTAATACTATACAATTTTTTAGTAAAAATAGGTCAGCAGTGATGTTGGAACTTTAATCTCTAAAATGGTCCAAGCAAACATCCCTGCCCTTGCTATTTGCCCCGCCCAATAACAGAGTTCCACTCCAGCTGCGCATCCGTAATATTTGGATCAGCTTTCTGTGCCGGTAAGAAAGGTACGCCAATTGTCCGACCGCCACTGGCAGCGTGTGTCCAGGTGGCGCAGCTTGATCTCCGCATAGATCTTTTCGAAATGGGGGGCACCCTTGCGGGCGCTTTCTGCCAGGATCTCGAACCAGATGGCCTCGCTTAGCTCGGTGCTGGTGTGGCACATGGAGACGCGCATGGATCCGAGGACACGCTCCCGAAACTGACGAACCAGTTCGCCCAGGCCAGCGTGAAAAGCGGTGGCTCCATTACCGCTCACTTCCGGTAGCAGAAAGGTGTTTATACAGCGTGCCTCCCCTCTGCCCCGGTAGATGGGCAATCCCGTGGGCCCGTATAGATACGCCAGCTTCTTGTCAAGTCGTTCCCGCTGCTGCGGCTCGAAATCCAGCCGCTGGGCACGTGTGCGCACGAACAGCACCTGCGGCAGGTGGTCCCGTACATAGCCTTTGCAGGGAAACGTCGGTCTCAGTCGAAGGGCAGCATTTATGATACGCAGCTGCTCCACGGCCAAGCCGTCAATGGCCAAAATCAGGACGTGACATACGCTCAAAAGTTGCGCCATTGCCGCCAGGGAATGCAGGTCCTGATGGTCCGGTTCCTTGCCCACCGGCAGCAGCGGTGGCGTGTCGAGCAGAATATGACGTTCCCGGGTGATAAAGAACTGCAAGGTCTCGGTGCGAGGACGCAAAATAGTCTTCTGTCCATTATTTGGCTTAGCCCTGTGCCGGGTGGCGAAGACGCACTCATCCGCCTCTGCCGAGAACAGGTGTTGGTAGTAGTCGTAGTCCAGAGACCGCTCAGCGGCCAGAAGATTGAGCAGCGTGCTTTTTCCGGAACACTGCCCTCCCAAGACGCCAATGACGGTGAAATCCGTGTTGGTTTTGTGGAACAGCTTGCGGGCATTGGCATTAAAGACCCCGTTGGCCACAATAAGGGGCGTGGGGCGGTTCATGCGCGGCGGGTGCTGCTCAAGAAGGGCACTTGTGGATCCGGCCGGGGTGCCTGCTGCTCCTGCGCCACCACTGCAGTTATTTTTGTCCCGCCCATTCGGTGCAGAGCTAGCTAAGGCAGCACAAACGGAGGTCGAAGGCACGGCGGAAAGTTGCCCACTTCCAAGGGAAAGTGCTCCGCCTCCCATACCCCCTGCAATCATGGACATCTGGCACCTGTCCGCCGGTCGCAGCTCGCTCGTTCGATTGATTATAATCGTTTTGATGGCCGCCGGTGCATCAGGGTAACTGCTACCGCTGGTGGGACTCGGCTCCGCCTCCTTATCTTTCTCAACGTCCCGATCCCTTTCCCACTCCTTGTCCCGGTCGCGGTCTTTCTTCAGCAGAATCTTTGGCTGCACCAATCGGGAATCCTCGCGCCGGGCAATGGTCACGGGTGCCAGGAGACCGGAGGAGGTGTCATCCCTCTTCTTGTTGCGGAAACGGCGTCGCTGCTCGGCCATTCCGTTCTCCGGTTTTTTGGGGCTTAATGTTTGAGCTTACACGTTTGTGGAGGTCAACGTCAAGTCTTAAGCGTTTTCCAACACTGCTCGACACATAGCAGCTGTGCTGTGACTATGAAAAAAATAGCTAAAAATGAAACCTAAAAAAAATGCTATATTCCAACAAAAAATATTTGGATATTTTCCTTCCTTAAGATTAATTAAATAATTTATTAAGATAATCCTAAAAGTGATACTTACTCCGTTATGCTCTTGATGCGCTGCATCCTTGACCCCAGTTTAAGTAAGATGATATCGCAATAAATCTTCAACAGCCACTCCCATATTACACACACACACCCAAGACCTGAAATTATAATTAAAACAAGAAAGGAAAACTAACTTCAGGCGGAGCCTGAATATTATGTGAATATTATGTACATTATATTCTCCAAATTATTCATATGATGCATTCTTAATACTTATAAAAAAATCGCAAATTCCTAACTTTACAAACACCAAAGTTATGGCATTTCCGATCAATCAGTTATATGGCAGCTATAGGATATAGTCGGTCGATCTTTATGAAATTTGGTAGGTCGGATTGATTAACAAAATATAAAACCCATAGAAAATCCCAGCTTCCTAACTTTACAAACACCAAAGTTATTGCATTTCCGATCAATCAGTTATATGGCATATATATAGGATATAGTCGGCCGATCCCGGCCGTTCCGACATATATACTGCGTGCAAAGGAAAGAAAGGTGTGTGCAAAGTTTCAATTCGCTATCTTTAAAGCTGAGATACTAGTTCGCGTAGAAACAGACAGACAGACGGACAGACAGACGGACAGACAGACAGACGGACGGACAGACAGACAGACAGACAGGCAGACGGACGGACAGACAGACAGACGGACGGACAGACAGACGGACAGACAGACGGACAGACAGACGGACAGACAGACGGACAGACAGACGGACAGACAGACGGACATGCTTATATCAACTCAGGAGGTGATCCTGATCAAGAATATATATACTTTATAGGGTCGGAGATGTCTCCTTCACTGCGTTGCACACTGTTGACCAAAATTATAATACCCTCTGCAAGGGTATAATAAATAATTAAAAGATACATATAAAAAATAATTAATTTTAAAAATACATTCGAAGGATTACTGCATACCTATATCCTGCATCCTGGTGTCCAATTTAAGTAAGATAGTATCACCACACATCATTTGCAGCTCCTCGAGAAACACACGCACTGACTTTTGGTCATCCGGGTCAACTAATTTTCGGCTGCCACAGCCCCTAGGTCGTGAATTTTTGACTAGAACTTATTGGGAATTATAAGTATCAGCAAGCGAAATAATTTGTAATTAACATTAAAGATGTCGTGGCCTTAAAATGAATAACATGGATGTTATCTAACATGGTACAAGTGGTATCTTATTATGTTTCACATTGCATGTTGTTAGTTAAATGTAGTAAGTTGCATGTTGAGTGTTGAATATAACATGCAACATACAACATACACAACATACATACAACAAGCATAAGCAACATGCAACATGCAACATGCAACATGCAACATGCAACATGCAACATGAAACATACACAACATACAACATTAAGCAAGCATGCAACATGAAACAAGAAACATGAACATGCAACATTATACAATAATTTTTAACGATAATTTAATAAATTTTTTTTTTAAGACCAGTCCAGTTGTATCGGTTTAAATAGCCAGATTTGGCTAGAAATAAGCTTCTCAAACAAGCAGGTGGTCGTTAATCAACACTGCCGCCAGTGCAGCGTGTTTGTTTGGCCATCACTTTATTTATTTATTGTCGTTTAAGGAGAGGAAAGCATGCCAATTGTAGTAATTACTGGTCTGCCGGCCAGCGGAAAGTCCACCCGTGCCCGCCAGCTTCGGGATCACTTCGTGGAGCGCGGCAGGAAGGTGCACCTGATCAGCGAAAATGAAGCAGTCCCAAAGGCTCTGTTCGGCAAGAATTCGCATGCCGGCGATTCGCAAAAGGAGAAGGTCGTACGCAGCGATCTCAAGTCGGAGGCTTCCCGCCACCTCAACAAGGAAGACCTGGTCATCCTGGACGCCGGCAACTACATCAAGGGTAAGCTCAGGGCAAGTTCCAGACGCTGAAAGAAATCGAAGGCTAACCGGAATCGAAATGCAAATCTCTTCCAGGCTATCGCTACGAATTGTACTGCATGACCAAGGCGTCCAGGACCAATCAGTGCACCCTGTTCTGCTGCATTCCACAGAAGCAGGCGTGGACCTTCAATGATCAGCGAACGGCGGCGGATGAGCTGTCCGGAGACAGCGAGGCGGAGCAGCCGGTGGACAACTCGAACGTTCCCTACACCCGCGAGACATTCGACGCCCTGTGCATGCGATACGAGGAGCCGCAGAGCAACAACCGCTGGGACAGTCCTCTGGTGGTGGCCCTGCCCGAGGACACGCTCGATGTGGAGGCCATTTACAAGTCTCTTTACGAGACACAGCCCCTGCCGCCCAACCAGAGCACCCAGAATGTAAGTAATAGTAAGCAGCTTTCCCAGCACTAGCTTAAAATCATAAGTTCTTGTCTTGCAGCCACCGCTAGGAGCCACCAACTACCTCTTCGAACTGGATAACATCATGCAGTCGATCATCAAAGAGATCCTCGGCGCCATCAAGATCAAGGCCTTCGGACAGCTGCGCATCCCGGGTAGCAGCAGCCCTGTTAAGGTCGCCACCTCGATGAACGCCCTCCAGCTGAACCGCCTGCGCCAGAAGTTTATTACAAGCACGTGTCGCGCCAGCCAAACGGCTCCCACTCCGCTAGAGCAGGTGCCGCAACTGTTCGTTCAGTTCATCAACGCCAACACGATCGGCTGCTAGCACTGTGATTATGGATTTTAACAAATGCCGGAATGGAGTCTTCAGTAGAATAATGTTTTGAGGTTGAACCCAACATAAGAAATATATGAAACTCTAAATTTTATACTGGTATTTGTATAGTTTTTTTTTTTGTGTTTGCCTTTTTTAATTAAATGGCAATAAAACCCCTAGAATAAAGCAAATATTATGATACTAGTTGGTTTATATGGACCACTTTACTGTAATTTACATTGTATTCTTTTGATTTTTGTGATAAGAATGTTAGATTTGAAGTTTTTTACTATGAAATGGCAATTTCGAAGTGTTATTTTCAAGAGATTTTGTATTTTAATTTATAAAATTATCATGCCACATGCCAAGAAAACACGTCTCTTGAAATAAAATGGCTTTTGACCGCGTCTTAAAAAATAAATAAGAAACTTTAAAATTTGAATCGAAAAAATATGCAATTTTGTTTGATTTCTTATTGTTTTTATTTTGGTTCCACGCTTTTAACTTCAGTGTACTAAGGAAATTCTTAGTCAGGACTTACTCCGCAGATAGCGGGGACTTCCACAATCAACGATTACATCCATAATTTTCTTTTCTTTTAACTAATAGAAAACCATCGATATTACCGATGTATTGAAAACATTGTTGACATCGATGTAGTCATCGATGATTCCCCACCTCTAAAAAGGAGCGCAAAAGTAAAGATTAACGTGAAAAAGTGATAAATAAAAAGAGTGATCAAAACGCGATAAAGGTAAACCTTAAAAGTGTTTATATAATAATTAAAGAGGATAATAAACAAATTACTACAACAAGTTGTTGCATGTATCTGTGTGTGGACAAATGCATTTGTGTATGTGGCTGTTTTTTGGTTTTGTTTTCTGTTGTTGACCTTCATCGAAGATAATTGAAAAATTGAACTTTGCCAATGTCAGAGACTCCAAGAAAAAACTTTAGCAATTGTGCGGAAATGCTTTAAAATATGAATAATATGTACATGTATGTACTATTTTTCACACCTATTGCGCGCGCTTTCTCTGCAAAATCTATTACTTAACTGCCGCTCTTTCTCTCTCTTAAAACAATATAAACTATATATTTTACTTTCTTTTTCCCCGGCTTTTTGTTGTTTCGGCTCTTGCTATTACGTTTTGTGTATGTGTGTTTTGTTCCGTTTTATTTTCGCAACCTGTTTCCACATTCTAATTAGAATTCCAATCAGAGTCTTTCACTTTCCGTAAAACAAAAAAAACAAGGCCAGCTGCTATTTAAATACTATATTTATAGTTTTTATCTCTAATAGGCTCTTTATCTAATTTGTTCTGTTTTCATGCTCAATTTCGCACAAGTACAGTTTGTTATTTTTCGCAACAAGAGGCTGGCGTCGCTTACACACAATCACATTTACAAATTACATATACACACATACATATATACGACTTGCAATTTGTTTTGATTACAAAAACAACAGCAACAAGCGACCTAGTTTATTTTTGGGTTTTTTGTATTACTTTATTTCGGCACGTAGACCGCTGTACGCACACATTTGTGCGTATGGATGTATGTATGTATATGGAAATGTAAAACATGTTGTTGTTGCCCCTTTTTCGACTTTTTTGGCCACTTTCGCCGCATGAAGAAGAAGAGGAAGAGAATGCAAACCAAAACAACAACAACAAAAGAGCAGAACACTTACAGTGTTGTAAAGCAGATGGTTGTAAGAGACAGAGTTGCCACCTCGCAGTTGTGGGGGTGTCTGTCACGTATTACAAAAAATAAAAAAATATGGGGAGGAAATGTGGGTGCTCCAATAAAACGCTATAAATAGCTCTTAAAAGAATCCACAACAGCTGCATTGCACGTTTTTAGCTTTATCTTTATCAGTCGCCTTGCTTTGCAAACAAAGAATATCAACAAAAGACGTTGAATATTTGCATATTTCTTAATTTGCATTCTTTTGTTGTTATGTCAGATGGCAACCCTGTTGTTGCCAGTGGCGGATGTGGAGAACCTTTATAGAGGCTCCTGTTAATGTATGTATTTATCTAAACGTTTGAAAGGTTGCAGAAATAAGGTAATCAATTGAATGTGTTTTCTTACAAAAAGTACATTTAATTTTACTTAGAGCCCCGGTTGCGACCCCTTTTAGATCCTTCTCTGCTTGTAACGTCCGATTTTTTGTTTTTTTTTTCACAACAACCGGAATTTTTCGCTGTTGCTTTTGCTGCGCGCATTCTCACGTACACACACACGTACGCACCGTGTGTGCGAGCGAGATGGCATGCTCAGCTGCTCGCGTTATCGCTGCATTCGCTTTGTTCACCATTTTCGTACATGCGTCGATTTTCGTCAGTTTTCTTAATTCGCCTTTGTGTTTCTCGCGTGCAGACGTGATTCGTCGTTCTCCGCCGATTTTCTGTAAATTTTAAACATAATAAAGTGCTTAAATAAGTCTAAACGAAAGTGTGTGTTTATTAAAGGTAAATGCTTATGAATTTGTCGCAAAACGTGCTAATAGTAGAAGAGGCAGCTAAATTAGTCGCATTTTCACTTTGTCCCAAACAAAAAACTGTAGTGAATTTCGAGACAACTTATACATACGCAAAATGCAGCCGGTGCATAAAATACATATTTGTATGTACACACACAAATGTAATTAAAACTGAAAAATCAGTGTCCCCAAAAAAAAACACAAAAAATGATATAAAGAAACGACATCAACGCACCTGGAAGAAAAAATTAAACAGCGGCTCTCTTGTTCTCCTTGTTGCGAATGAGGGGGAATAATACAAATACCAACACAAATGTAGCAAAAGAGCGCGCTTTTAAATGTATTAATTCCTTTTATGCATTTTGTTTATTAAATCCCCCCAAAAAAGAACAACAAAAAGTCACACACACAGGCAACAAAAAAAAAATTGCGCATATATTTGTGAGGCGCGCGCGTGGCTTAACTAGCTATCTCGCTCTCACACCCCCCATTGATCCCCCGTTTTCATTGTTGTTGGTTTTTTGGAACTGTATTTAAAACATGTTTGCTACATTTAATTGCACCACTTGCTTTTGATAAGATATTTTTTGTGGGTAATGGCAAAAATTGAAGATTGTCGTTTGCTTCGTGGTTTTTGATAGCGTTCTTATCTATTACTGTCAGCTACCAGTAAAACTTAAACGACTATCAACACAACTCACTAAAACAGCTGTTCAAATATCTGTAATTATTTTTTTAAATTTTTAGATTTTTATGTAGATATTCTGAACAATGCTTCAGCAAGGACAGCAGAAAACTGTTGTTGAGGGTATCCTAAAATGTTGTATAGATTAATAACTAATTATTATAATTTTCCTTTTTACAGCACAAATGCAGTCAACTACAGTGAAGCCCGGGCAATGGATGTTGGCAATGCATGCGCTCAGAACGAAAACGAATAGAATGTCCGCGCACAAATAACACTAGCACAATCACAGTGAACACTGCCGCAGCACACAGCCAAACACAAACACTCAAACAAACAAACTTTACCCGCTCAAAACAGTTGAAAAAACGTTCAAAAATCAAACAATCAAAACACTAAGCATTAAAAAGTCTCCGTAGAACTTGTGTAGTTTCCACCAGAAATCCAACAACCCAAAATAAAACAACATGTTTAATTTTCATAAGCCGCGCGTTTATCGCTCCGCAGATGGATGCTGCATTTGCCGGGCTAAATCGAGCAGTTCCCGATTTACGGCCTCCCGGAAATATGAGAAGGAGTCGATGCAGTGCTTCAATCTCCACGAGCCACGAAACGGCGAGATCTGCAACGCCTGCGTCCTTTTGGTCAAGCGGTACAAGCGACTTCCCGTCGGAAGCAAGCGCCACTGGGGTCATGTGAGTATTGCTCCGAGGGCCATAGGATAATGCCTTAGGGAAAGCCAAAGATAATTGTTCCATCTTTTATACTTTTATTAGTCTCTATATCTATTATTTATATCCCTGGGATAAAGTATAATGCAATGCCCAATATTTCAAGAATTTCTGTTTTAGGGGGATTTGGAATTAGTCTTTAGAAACCAAAGAATGCTATTCAGTTTAATTGTCACAGTAATTTGTGGCTTAATCAAAAAGATCCTAACAATTTTTATATACTAACATTGAAACTATAATTTCAGGTACCAAAATCAGTACTTAAGTTAGCAGCTTAAGCAATTATATTCTATTCCTCCTTATGATTTCGATTTGTTTTGAAATACAAAATGATAGAGAAAGTAAAGTAAAGTGTTAAATATATAAATAACAGCAATCGACATGCTTAACACATCTTGAAAATATTAAGAATTTGGGCAAATTCACGAATTAAAATAAAATAATGTAACTTACTTCGCAAGTAGTCACTGAAGTTAAAGAAATCGGTGTACTTGGTTTGTTATGAAATAGAAAGTAGGATGTGAAGAACACAACAGATATTTTCCCTTCAAAGCAAAACCATTCCCAACTAATCCTCTTACTTTTTACATTTAACAGGTGGTTGATGCCCGTGCTGGACCCGGAACCAAATCCCTGGCGAAACAGAAGAAGCGTGACAACGCAGAGGCGGAGGGCAAGGCCAGCGGCAACTCATCATTTTTGCCCGAAAAGTTTGCCAAGATCTTTAAGAAAAATCGCAAAGGCAAGATCACAGCGGCAGCGGCGACACAATCAGTAGCAGCTACATCCGTTTCCAGTACTAATCGTCCCAGCAGCACTTCACCTACCTCCGAGCATCAGCCCAGCGATTCAAACGAGAGCTACGATGATGAACATATGTCAGGATCCTTTGGAGCTTCTGGAGCTCCCTATCAAACACGCAAGCGGACTGCGGCCGCAGCATTGGCCATTTCTGGCACCCCGGAGGTCAGCAAAAGACCCAAGCTGACTGGGAGCAAGCGACGTCGCCAATTGCCACCGCAAAAACATCGGCGGGCCGTCGATAATGTGCCCTTTTTCGAGGACAGCGATCTCTTACGCCTGGAGGTCTGTTGCGGTGTTGTCTTCCAAAGTTTATCCCTCGGCAGCTGCTGCTACATAATAGATCCAGAGCTGTACAAACCCTGCGAGAAGCACCAGCGTCTGCGGCACCAGCAGTTTCAGCTCCAGCAGCAGCAGAACAATCAAGAGCAGCAAATGGAGGCCATGCCCATTTCTATACCACCGCCAACGACTCAAGTTCAAAGCCAGGGACCAAAGATTGGGCCCTTCAAGAAGCACCATTTGTACTTCAAGCGACAATCGGAGTTATTTCCGCAGGGTGATATCCATAGAATAAGTCCAATTCCATTGAGCAAGACTGAAACGAACAGCCAGCAGCAGCCACATTCCAATCTGTCGCTGATCCTCAAGTCCAATCCTATTGCCCAATCGCAATCCCAAGTGGTTTCCGTGGGCGCCGCTTCACCCTCGTCACTGTCCTCCTCATCCAACTGCTCCACTTCATCCTCAGTGGCCACCAAGTTCAACGACAACTCATCGGATTCGGGGTTCGATGAGCATGTGCTGGAGCGCAAGTCTGTTAGTCCACCAACGGTAGGTTTTCTTGTTGATTGTTTAATGCATTTCACTAACTCTGATTTTATTTAAACAGCAGGATGAGTGGAAACTGCGTGGAGCAACTGGGGGCATGCAGCTGATCCTGGCCAGCGGGCTGCCACTGGCTGGTCAACCGCAAAATCTGGTGCTAGCGGGGAACGAGTTTACGGCACGGATTGTGCAGCAAAGGGAATCTGGTGGGGCACCTCTCAAAATCAACGTACTAGGCGGATCTCAGGGAAATGGCAATAAATTGCGTGCAATATTCAATAGCGCCAGCAGCATTCAGCATGAGAACGGAGTGACCACCATTTTGCCAGCCTCCTCACTGGCGGCCACCAACCAAACGGCTGCCATGAATGCCATTGCGCCCAGCACGGTGACCATAACGCCATCAACCGTGGGCAAGAAGGTGACGGCGGTGCCAAATCCCAAGTTCATACTGGTGAAGCCCGCCAAATTCGTGGGCCAAACGGCGTCGACGACGACGGAGCCACCTGTTCCTCCTCCTCCAGAAGCCAAAATCTTATAAGCGAAACGAAAAAGAAAGAGAGAGATAGATAGGAGATGCCAAGCGTCTCGCAGGGATTTCCCAAGACCCTGTTACAATTGTTATACACCCAAGCTCCCTTTAATTTTTTTGTATTCATCATTTTTTATCTCAAAGTTTATATTTAATCTAAGATGTGCCCCAAGGCAGTGAATTTTGTATATATACAACGCAAATTACTTGTATCCATCTCCCCACCCCCTACAAACATTATTTTGTAGAATACTCAGCCGAAGCAGCAGCTCCCATATCATTATAGAGTAATATTTAACATTTCGTAAAAAACACCTTATATCTTAGAAGTTAGTTTATGTACATACGATTTAAGCCAGCCTAATGACTTGTTTTTGTCTAGTTGCCCAACTTAGTCATCGTCTGCAATCCTTACATTACCATGTTAAGCTGAATAAAACGGATAATCGAAACGGAGAGCATTTTTAAGAGCGGTTTATCGCAGTAGTTGGACGTGTAGTAGTTCAGTGCCCTAGTAGTATGTAGTTGAACACAAAGCTCGCTCTTTTTTAACCGAGGTTTTCAGATCAGGCCTGCGGAAAGAGCGAATAAAGCCACCCAACACACACAAAATGTAGCCTTAGGAATGCCTAAACAAACAAACAGCAAACAAAAAACAACCACAGTGTGTTACAAGAAAATGTTTTTTAAATCTAAGTACAAATAAAATTTTTGAAAATAAAGTTAAACGTCTTTTTTAATTCGGGTACTTTAATAAAAAAAAAATGGATTTTTTAAATGAGACTGCAAATTTGTCCTATTTGTAATATTATTTATTTTAACCTAAAATGTGATTTCTAAATTTACTTTCCTATTATTAACAGCAAAATTAAGCCTTGAATCAATAATCCACAACGTGTTTTTATTTGTGCACTAATTTATTTTTGATGATAATTTGCGTTCTTAAAACGATAAAAATTCGGAATTAATGTTATACAATACTAAACATTTCTTATGGTTTTTGTGCTTTGACTGCAAAAAAACAGTAAAAATCACACTATATACAAACGCTAATTTATTTGGCAATTGAATTGTGCATATGGATATTATTGAAAGCCCTACAGACTGTAGTAGAACTCCTGGGCGTCCAGATACAGGGCGATGCCCACCCAAAGGAGGGTGTTCCACGTGGCCTCCAGCAGGCGCATGAAGTGCGTGTTCATCTCTCCGATATGCCAATGCCAGGGTAGCATCGAGTGCAGCACCGAATGTCCCACATACATCACGATGGCATTCATGCCGCATTGAGTGAAGGGAAAGCCCGACCAGCTCCAGGATTCCCGCACATCGATGAAGTAGTAGAGCAGCGACAGGATCACCAGGGCCAAGCTAACTGTAACGCAAACATAGGACAACGACCAGAGGTTCTTGTTCACGGGAATAGCGCCGCCTTCACGCGAGAACCCACACAAGGCGCCGCCAATGAGGCCCAGAAGGACGCTGAGGAGTAGCCAGCGACGGATCCTCGATTGCCAGGTGGGATGCACCAACAGAGTTACGCCCGCAAAGCCGCCAAGGAGCACCTGCACCACACTTAAAATGCAGCCTGTAAATGGAAAAATTGCGAAGGAGGTTTCAGCGAGTTAATCTTAGATTGTAATCGATGGATTGACAAACAAAAATAACTATGGGTCTTAACCGAAAAAGTATTGTTCATTTTCATATGATTGTAATAATAGGCACAAAATGTAAATTATTTTTTTCATTTGCCCGCTCTGAATATCAAAGCCATTAGAAGATAAATAAAGATCTTAGAAAGTTCTCAAGTTCACAATAATGCATAGAAGGCCTTCCAGAAATCTATTTTTTGATTACTTTAGCTTACGTTTTTAAATTGAAAAAGAGAAAACAAATAAATACATTAAAAATGTATTTCTTCCCCTATAACGCGAGTTCTTCCCCTTTAAATGGTCTAGTCCAGCCCAGAATATCTAAGACATTGAGTTACTTAGCTGCCGCTGTTTTGTTTACAACCAACTTTAAGAGCCCAACTTACCGAATACTCCCTCCGGATCGAAGGCAGTGGAGTCGTAGACGTGTTTCGCAGTGGGATGTTGAAAGATGTGCGTATTGCCCAGCACCTGGAGATCCACATAGCCCGCTGCACCACCAATACATTTGGGATGGGCGACATAATCGTGCTTGCCTCCAGGTCCCAGATAGCCTCGCGGACATCCCGGCACTTGCAGGCCGAAAGTTAGACCCAGATAGGTGGCCACCAAGGCCAGCAACACGGCCAGTTCTCCACTAAAGAGGCACACATCATGGACGGCCCGCTGCCAGGACCTCTGGGGACTTATGGGCTCCCTGCGGCTGCACAACGTGTGCAGTACACCCACAACCAGAAAAGCCACTCCGAATCGCTGCAGGACGCCCATTAGACGCAGGTGCTCGAGCTTCGTTCCACCCATCGAGTTAAGGCACAGTCCGATGGCAAAGAGTTTTATCGATCGCCACAGAATTCGCAGGCAGATACTGGTCTTGCTGTTCCCCCGGGACAGTTGTGATTTTACCGAGAGCGGAATGCACACACCCATAATCCAGAGGAACGAGGGAAATACCAGGTCGGCCAGGTGCAATCCGTTCCAGGCTGCGTGCTCGATCCACGCAAATCCGCCGCCGCCGCTGTTCACGAAGATCATCAGCACGATGGAGAGGCTGTGGGGGAAAAAGATCCGGGTTAGTTGAGTTATTCTACCTCTTTCATTGCAGAATTTGTCTCTGTATGTTATGCTTAAAATGATTCATTAAGTTAAATAGAAATAAATTATTATTATTAATACCTATACCTGTACCTATAGAAAAAGTAAGGTATCTTAAGCTTAAGCCGAGATAAACTTAAACAACATGTATTCTCAATGATTTTTCTATTAACATGAGTCTAATAAGTGATTATCTCAAGTTTTATAGGCTCTATATAAATAATAAATAATTAATAAAAAGAGATATATGTTATAAGTATCTAACTCTAACAGATGATACAGAAACTATCTGTCCAATTGAAAATGTCAGTACTATATCTAGTTACAAGCTCCTTTAACATAAAATTAACTGACTTCTCCATAGGTAGATTTTCCAATCTTATAAAATGGTTCTGTCGAAATGAGTATTTTTAGTTTAATCTTAAGTTTAAGGATCTAACATTTCTGGGTTCTTTCATTTCTACTTTTAACTCTAGTACTTAAATATAGATTGTATAGCATTTAATTTTGTAATTTTTTGTGGATACAAGGGGATCGTCTAGATCGTTTAGTTACCCCCGGAAGGTGTCCAGGCTCCTGAGGCGCTTCCTTTGGGTGGCCTTTGTGGCGGCTGCTCCGATACTATCGGCTGCGGCAGCGGCCTCATCGTAGCGATAGCATCGCCAGGCACAGCTCACGAGTTTCAAAGCGATTAGCAGGGCGGCAACCAGAACGAAAACGGCAAGGAAAGCTGCGGATAAGGGTAGTACCGATAAGTAATATACATATATCTGAAGTGGCAAAATCAAGTGCTTTGGGGCACTTGCGGATTACGGACTGCGGATTACGAACTAGCGGATTAATTGAGCACTTACCGTAATTAATGGGCACTCCGGGCTTGTCCACCGCAAAGGTACAGGTTCCATTCGCTTGGAGGGTCAGGTTATAGACGCCAAATTCCTGCAGATCGGTGCGACGCAACCAACAAAGTGACGAACTGCGGGGAAATCGATTAAACTTGAAAAGGTGTATTTGCAATTGGCATGCATAGTTAAGCAGTTTCGCTCAAACTAGTTAACACACATACGCAAATCACTTGAATGTACGGTGATACTCACACATTATCGTAGGCATAATGACCCTGATCGTTTTCGAATATTTTAAAATTGAGACCAAATGCCGAATTCAAATTTAACGGTTCAGCGACGCCGGCAGAGGGCAGAGCTTTCACTCTTGTATACGGACACTAAAATGAAATACAAATAAGCTATTGAATAAATCGAATTAAAAGTAAAAGTAATTGGAAGTGAAACCGATTGCGTATTTTGGTTGCACATTATTTGTTATTATATATTACCGTGTAGCATTCATCGGAGAGTGAGTACAGGTAACTCTCTTTGTGATAACCCGATTGCAGATACAGGTAAAATTCGTCGACGGACAACGCGCGCATATCCAAATTTCGCCATATGGGCTCTGTATATTCCACAAAAAGTGACATTTCGTAGTTTATATCTTAAAATGAATACACTATTCTGTGGTGTTTTCGTTCACATTAACAAAATAAAAAGATACAAGTGTGATGAGCGACCAACTTAAACTAAACTTGAATGCGCTCAATATTCCCCCATTTCTAGCCCTTTTTTAGTTTTTTATCTTGACTAAATAACAAAACAATTTCGAGTGCGCAATAAAATAAAAACAAAATTCCAAGTGGAAATAGCACTAACAACAAGACAAAAGCAACAACCAACAGTGACAACAAAGAGCAGTGCTGCAAAACGACCGAAGAAATGGAGTTGCCAGATGTCACGTATTTAAATAGATTCTTTGAAATCATTTTATAAACAATTAAAATGTATATAGTTAATAATTATTCTAAATAAAATATTCAAGTATTACTTGAATTCCAAGGCTTTTACATGTAGTAAAATGATATAAAATATCTTACACTTAAACAAAATTTTTTAAATAATATTAGGTAGGGATTAAGTAAAAATTATGTAAATAATTGATTGTCATATAATGTAAATCTTAACTTTAAATGTCAAGATGCAAAAACAAATTTAAAAATATTGTTTTACTTTCTTTAAATGTAATGTTTTTATTGAAAACCCTACAACATAATTTGTTTAAGTACTTGTGTGCACGAGGTTATTTACTTAATTTGGCTACAAGTGTTAGCTTTGAAGGACGTTTTAAATTATTAATTTAACATTTATTTTAACGTGCTTTATGTAAAGAATTATGAATTGAACGTTTGAGTAAACAATCAATAAAAACCCAAATGCACATTTGAAATAATCTATAAATCGTAGGAAAATAAAGTTTTCAATGGATGAAACTTTTGATTGTGTTGATAGTTAAAAAAAAACAATTTTAATAACAATTTTATGAACCTTTTTGCCAATAAGAAATAATCATATAATCATATAAATAATCAACTTGCTGGCAACGCCACCAATAGTTAACCCTTATTGAGCGCTCTCAACTGTTGCTTATATATCCACATATAACTAAATATTAAGGGGATATTAATTTAAGGTAAATTTTAATCAATAAATTAGTAGAAAATACGTGACTTTAACCATTTAAGTAACGACTTTTACATTTTTAGCAGCGTGCACAATTGGGGGCGTTGCACTTGGCACGGTCTGGCAATGCTATCAGCTGTTTCTGCAAAACAACAAAAAATTGTTGCTGATGTTGTCGTGAATTTTTGAAATTTCCACTGATTTCTGATCGCCGATCGGTGATTATCTTGGATTATCTGGGATAATGGAGCGGGAAAGGGATAGCCGCCTATGCGCCGTCACCTTCTTCGCGAAATTGCATCCTGGCGACGTTTGCGGCACAAATGGACTTCCTTTGACGCCAAATTCCATTGCGATCCTGGGACGCGCCCAAAAACTCAAGGAACTGCAGGACGAACATCTGTGCCAGTATCTGGATGTGATTCGCGGCAAGCATGGTGTGTAGTTTGGTTCCTGGAAGCCACAAACCGGATGTAATGTCCAACACGAAGTACCATCCAAAACCATATAAAACACCCACTAATTCCATGGGTTAAAGTGGTGCAGATAAATTTAACATCTCAAAAAAATATCATATCGCAAATCTCTTCATGATTGTACACTTATTACAATTAAAGGCCATCTAAAACTCAAATAAATCCTTCTTTAACGGGCATAAAACTTTGCAGATAGATATATTGCCCTATATGTTTGCCACATCCTCACTGTCTCACAAATTACTAAGAAAATACCGTTAAACACACCCTCAAATTTCATTACAACTATGGGTTTAACTTATCTGCAAATAAATTTAGAAATAAACCGACTAAATTCGCAAAAAACACAACTATCCCAAGTTAAGCTTCATTATCCCTTAAAGCAATAAATTCGCGACCATTATATGAATCATACATTGTACATATCTACCAACGTCGACTGATAAATATTATATCATTAAAAAGCGAGGCATTAAATTTGTATCAATCTGCCACCAAATTAATCCCGAAAATCCTCGCTTGCAGAACGCACCATCGTCGTTTCGGAATATTTGGGACTCTCCCTGGAGGACTATGCCAAACGTCATCCTCCGCTGGCCATCGCCCAGATACTGAGGATTTTCTATCAAGTGGCCAGCGGCATTGGAGTCCTAAGCCAACACCATCTGGTGGCCCACAATCTGGAGCCTAGGCACATCCTAATCTCCGGCGACGGTCAGCGGGTGAAGCTCTTCAACTATGGACTGCACCACATGACCAAGGGCGGTGCCCATGTTCCTTTTCCCATTGGCAATATTCGCTATATGGCGCCGGAGCGATTGTTAGGACTAAATGGCAATGTCAAGAGCGACATTTGGTCCTTGGCCCTGGTGATCGTCGAGCTGGTATTCCAAATCGAACTGTGGCCCAAGTTGAAACTCTCGAATGTGGTTAGGAAAATCCTGGCCTTTGGCCGGAGCAACGGAGTGCTGGAGAAGATTGCGCGGGAGCATCATTGCCATGAACGCTATGTGGAAATGGACAAGGGCCTGCGACAGCTGCTGGAAAGCTGTTTGAGCGTTCTACCGAAGAGGCGACCACTGCCCGCGGAGCTCTTGAGTCATCCCATCTTCGAGGGAGTCCTTCTGGATTTGCAAAAGGAGAAGATCCAGAAGAAGGTGCAGCAAACCGAGCATTTACCTCTACTGCTGCGTTGTCCTTTGGCCCAAATCTATCACCTTTGGCAACTGGCAGGCGGAGATGTCCAGGCGGAGCTGAAAAAAGAGGGTCTCATTCGTAGTGAGGCGCCCATTTTGGGCCTGCCGCAGATCGTCCGGCTGAGCGGAGCGAGCGTTTGTCCAGGACGAAGTCAGGCGCAGCTGATGGACGATCGAGTGGTGCCGCTGCGCCTGAAGGCGCTGCTCCAGCGATTAAGTCGATTGCCAGCCGGCGTCTACTTTCCGCTGCTCCATTCGCCGCGCTTTCCCGCCCATTTCGCCCGCGAACTGCAGGAACTACCGCTGGTAATTCGCGAAAAGGACATCGAGTATCAGTTCCAGCGGGTGCGACTGTTCACGCGAATTCTTCAGGGCTATCCGCACACAGCGGAGCAGCTGCAGCGCGAGGCGGCCGTGGATGTGCCGCCGCTTTTGCGGGGTCCAATTTGGGCCGCCCTTCTGGAGGTGGTGCCGAATGGTAGTTACTGCAAGATTGACAAGTTCACGGCCACCAGTACTGATCGGCAGATCGAGGTGGACATACCGCGCTGCCATCAGTACGACGAGCTGCTCTCCTCGCCGGACGGACATCGCAAACTGAGGCGGCTGCTCAAGGCCTGGGTCACCGCCCACCCGCAGTATGTCTACTGGCAGGGATTGGACTCACTAACGGCGCCGTTTCTCTTTCTCAACTTTAACAACGAAGGTGGGTTGAGCCATCATTGATTTGTTTATGGGATCTCAACTTGCTAACCCATTTTTTGGTTTGTTTCTCCTTAGAATTGGCTTTCCTCAGCCTGTTCAAGTTCATTCCGAAGTATTTGCAGTGGTTCTTCCTTAAGGACAACTCGGCGGTGATCAAGGAGTACCTAAGCAAGTTCTCCCAGCTGACCGCCTTCCACGAACCGCTCCTCGCTCAGCATTTGGCCAGCATTTGCTTTATACCCGAGCTGTTTGCCATCCCCTGGTTCCTAACCATGTTCTCTCGTGAGTTTTTTGTACAGATAGAAGAATAATCTATGAGTTAATGAATAATTCCTGTTGCAGATGTTTTCCCGCTGCACAAGATCCTGCATTTGTGGGATAAACTTATGTTGGGCGACAGTTCGTATCCGCTGTTCATTGGCATAGCGATACTGCGCCAGCTGAGGAGCACGCTGCTCACCTCCGGTTTCAATGAGTGCATCCTGCTCTTCTCGGATCTGCCGGACATTGTGATGGACGGGTGTGTGCTGGAGTCGCAGAAGATGTACGAGGCCACGCCGAAGAGTATTACTCACCGGCAGCACGCCCTGCGATTCCAACCGCCGCAAGCGCTGGTTAGTTAGTTATTAAACGCCTGAAATTACACATATGTTTCAAGCCGTATCTCCTTCCAGGACATTGGCGTGGCGGACGTGGAACTGAAGCACCTGCAGCAAGAGCAATGCCCACGTATCAGCGCCAAGGATGTGCAATTCCTGCTGGACAACTCGCCGGCGGAGCTGGCCCTCGTCGATCTGCGCAGTGTGGTGGAGTTTGGACGCGTTCATGTGCCGCATAGCATCAACATTCCGTTCGCCACCGTCCAGCTGGGCGAGCAGCGACTGGAGGCCCTGCAGGTGCCTCAATTGGAGGCGACACTGCGGGGCAGGATCGTGGTATGCGTGAGCAACATCCATCAGCACTCTGTGGAGGTACGTAAAACACGCTGCGTGCTTTGTTAACTCTCCAATGTGGAGATAGTTATATCTGGGCTGATCCATCGTCACCTCCGGCTTTAGGAACCAAAATAATCCCTCAACTCCCTTACCTTTCAGTTCTCGCACTTTTTGGTGGCCTGTGGCGTCCAGCGCACCTGCATTCTCCACAAAGGATTCAACGTCCTGCACTCCATCGAGCCAAATATACTCATCTCAAATTGAGCCCCGAGTGGCCGATAGTTTCTCGTTAGCCTCATCGCTTCTGCTCGTCTAGCCTAAGCTCCATGTAAATTTATTATCTTTTTTAAATGGAATGTATTTGCAAATAAATGATATGTGTCTTACATATATATTATAACTGATCAATTGTGCTAATTTTATCTGGATTTTTCCAGATAAATTTGTTCACCCTGTTCAAACAAAGAGAGCTATGTAAATGTGGCTTGAAATATGAATTTAAAAGGTTTTGTTAGACATTTTCAGTCACCCATATGCACACGCAATAAAAAACATTCCTTTCTGCCTTTACTTGTTTCTTTTCTTTAGATTATTTTTTGTAATGATTTATTAAAAAAAAAATAAAAACACTTAAACTAATGCTTAACATAAATACATACCAAATTTAATCGCATTTTCGTTACTTCTTGTTTTTGTTGCTCTTCTCTAAGCATAATTACTTTTAATCGTAGGTGATTTGTATTTGCTTTCTGATTTTTTCAAAATTTTAATTTCTGTTTCGCTGTGCCTTACCATTACATTAAAATTTTAATTCGATTTAAGTTTCAGATTTCTCAACCTGATCTCATGTATATATAATATATATTTATATATATATATGTGTGTTTATGTGCATACATTAAAGTCAGTTGTTTTTTTGTCTGTCCATCTGGTGCTGCTCTTCGTTTTAAGATGTTATACATAGCTTTATAGTTTTTTAAATGTATTTTAGGGACATTTGGTTTGTCTATTGCTTTGGTTGGAAAATTGAAAAAATGAAACAAATGGAGACAGACACCAAACTGAACCAGCAGCTTGCCGCCGACTCTTAATTCGGGATGTTCTGCAAATCTCTATGACGATTTCAAAATTAATTTGTTGTGCCAAAATGTATGTCAAATGATGGTGTATTAAAACACCTGATTAAAACTTCCTTTTTCTATCATTTCTAATACTCAAAATGTTGTTCTTTAAATCTCGTCTTATTTTGAAGTGTATTAAAATACAGATTTATGACTGAACCCTTCTTTTTAGAGAGTAACATATTTTATATCCTTTGAAGTGTATAAAATATTTCATTTAAATTAACCGCAGTTTAAAGGATAATACAGTTATGGATGTACAGGGATTTTAATAGTACACTTGTGAAAATCATAGCATACGTTCTTCCTGTGTCAACAACAAACATTATAATATCCCTAAAAAATATAGGTTTATGAAAATCAATAAAAAATCTAATAAAAACAATAGTATTGAAATCCTAACCTTTTTTTCTTTTTAGTCCGCCGAAAACAATTTTTAACCATGTTTTAAGTTTAAAGATCTAATTAATTTCCTTTTTAAAAAAAGAAACTGGCAAGAGTTTGAAATTTCGACAATCATCAAAGAGTTCAATAAACATTATGGTTAGGAAAGCCTAATACATATATTATTATATGTTTTATTGCATTTAAGGCACCCAAAACTATTTCGAGATCTTTAGAGATTTCAGAACCATCCGCTTTATCATATCTTGCGAGGGTATATAGTGTGTGGGGGCTGGATGTGATGCTACTTTGGCTATGGCTAGGCTAATCATGGAGTTTAGCTGCTGATCGATCCGGGCTTAAGCTTAGAGAGACCTTTCCATCCTTAACTATCCTACTTAGTGGGTATGAAGCGTGCTTTAACCGCCTGACCCATCGGCAGGTGCAGGAGTTGCTGCTGCTGCGCCTGCTGCTGTTGCGCCTGTTGTTGCGCCGCCTGCTGCTGCATGTGCTGGTTGATCTGCTGCTGGATGGACAGGCCACTTACGCTGCTGATATGCTGGCTGTGGAGTGGTTCGTTGATCTCGATCTTGATGGCCGTGGCGGCCAGCGTAGTCGCCTTGTTCTTGTTCTTCGGCGGACGTCCCCCTGCAAATAGTGGAAAAAGTTGCTATTAGATATTGAGATTAGGACTATTTTATCACATATGCATTGACCAATCATGTAACAACACCTAATCACTAGACGTCATTATCTTAACATTTTATTCTTTGCGATCTTTGATTAAAACGTTTTGTTTTATAAAATCGTAATTTGATTCAATTATTAATAAAATCGAAATATTATTTTCCGAAATCTATAGTCCGGAATTGATCACTGATTCACTCCTTTACAAGTCATCGGAAACTTAAAAATAACTAACATGAAAATGGGTAACAATATTGATAAACACTAAATAAAACATTTTGAATGCAGATTTTTAGAGAATTGAATCACAAGTCTTTAGAGGTATCCCACTTTGAAATCGGATTAAATTTGGTAAAGCTATGGACTCTAGAAGTCCAATTTTGGGTCACTCTATTACAACACATCGGAAACTTCAAAAATATCCAACATGAAAATGGGTCAAAAACTTAATAAACGCTAAATTGAAAATTTTGAATGCAGATTTTTAGAGAATCGAATCACAAGTCTTTAGAGGTATGCCACTTTGGAATCTGAACAGATTTGGTAAAGTATTTGAGAAAGCACCAATATATCAATAAAACCAGGTAGAATGTATAACATCCCAATGAAAATAGATAAGGACACGATCTCTTGCACAAGGAAGGTTCTTGAAGGCTCTGTAGAAATGAAGCCAAATCACTCCAAAGAGGACTTACGCTGCCCCGTCGTGTGCTGCAAGGACAACGGCTGGCCGATCATCGCCAGCGGCTGTTGTGGCGTCTGCAGCGAGACCGTCTTCTTGGAGCGCTTCGGGGGCGGCAGCTCGTGGTGGGCGTGGTTGGTGAGCAGGTGCTTGGACAGATGCTGGCGCACCGCAAAGGACTCGGCGCAGTTGGCCACCGGACAGGAAAGGTAGCGTCCCTCGACGTGACGCTGCACGTGCTTTTTCAGCAGCGACTCCTGGTTGAAGCTGCTCGGGCAAATGTCGCACTTGAACTTGAACTCGTCGTGCATCTTGAGGTGCTGGTCGAGGTGCGCCTGCTGCAGGAACTTCTCGTCGCACTTGTCGCACTCGTACGGAAAGGCCAGTCCGTGGGTCTTCATGTGCGTGTGCAGCTGCGACTGCAGCTTGAAGTTCTTCTCCGGACAGCGGGGACAGTAGTAGCCAGTGACCCCGGCGTGTGCCTGCAGGTGCTGGTTGAGTGAGGTCACCTGCGTAAACTTCTTGTTGCACACGTTGCAGCAGTACTGCTGCACCTTGTGGTGCGACTTCATGTGGTTGTTCAGGTTCGTCACCTGAAATTTAAAGATCTTTGTGTTAATTGGCAATTTAAATGTTTATTAAGAGCAATAAATTTTCATAAAATACCGGACCCCTTATCATTTGAATTTTAGTTGATTTGCAATATTTTTGAAATTTGTTCAAAGGTCTTAGATATTTGAGCATTTTATATTACGTTGCAATTTTTCATATCAAAATAGTCTTCGAATATTTTCTATAATTATGGGTAAACAAAGCTATCTATTATTGGGTTTCAGTATTGGACTGTTGAGACCTTTTTAATTGAGGTTTCTTAAATGATATCTTTACTCGAGATGTCTCATAGTTTAAGGGCAAACATAGCTATATTTTGGTAATCATAGAACTCGGGAAAACTTCCCGATTGCTTTAACCCCCTATCATTAACCCATGGACCTGACCTGGGCGAAACTGCGACCACACTCGGGTTCATTGCAGACGAAGGGCCGTTCGCCGGTGTGTAATCTGCGGTGATTGTTCAGGTTGGTAATCTGCGTGAAGGTCTTGCCACAATCCACGCACTGATATGGCCGATCGTTCGTGTGGATGCGCTCGTGGTTCCGCAAGTTAGCCGCCTGCGTGAAGCCTGGGAATCGAGGGTCACACAGATCATTAGGGAATATATGGATATGTATGTATTAACTCACCTTTGTGGCAGTAGGTGCACACAAACTTACGCTCCGCCGAGTGATTTCGTATGTGCGTCATGAGCGAGGATTTGCGCGAGAAAGTTTTGTTGCATAGCGGGCAGGAGCCCTCCTCGTTGAATATCAGATCCACCTTGATTATAAATAGAGCATCGGTTTAAATGGGTGGATTTTTAGTAACTATTGGTGACTATTGGTGATTTTCTCTATAGTAGAAAATAGTTAATAAAACTATTTGAGTTAGTATGAAAAATATTTAATTTCAAGGATGTTTTCTATTGGCGTTTTAAACGTATTAAAAAAATGCTTTAAAGGCCTATTTTTTGTAAATTTTTTTAAAACAAAATCTTTAAAATAGAAGACGTTACTTTCAATTTCAATCGTAATATAAATATCCCCGGCTTTCCTTTAAATCTATCTGCGATTTTATAATAAAAATACCACATTTTTGAAAGTTTAACCGAATTTTGTTAAACTTGAATCTTAAAAACATTTCTGGTACTTTTTGAAACCGAATTTTAAACTTGAAGTCTTTTTTTGACGGTAAAATAGCTGAATAAACAACACTCACGCTCAACAAGCTGGCGGCCAAAAGAACGGATTGCAAATTCCCGTGCGAATTCAGTTTGTTTATTGCGGAATCACTCAGATTATACTTAATATTTTTCACTATTTTTATTTATTGCTTTTTATTATTTTTTTGCGTGCCACGCACACCCACACACGGAAAAGCGTCAACTGAAAATGAATTTTTTCCGCTTTACACAGCGCACAAAAAACGCCGACGTCGACGTCAACAGAGCAGATATTAATGGAAAAAGAAGCAAAAGATATATATGTATATACATATATATAAATATAAAGGAAAACAAGAAAATGAGCAGTGCGAAAATAGCAAGGGAAATAGAAAATACTCTACAATTTACATTTTTTCTATCATTAAATTTTCAATTCTACAATTTAATTTTAATATTTTTTTCAAGACATGATCACTTCCCTTGCAAAATCATTGCAAATTTTTGTGACACCACCAAAGGCTCTTAAGCCAAAAATTATTTAAAGAAATTCTTTTTAATTTTTAAATTACAAATACAAACAAATTAATGAATGATAAATTTCCATTAATTGTTAAATAAACTAATCTGTTCCACTTTAACTTTAATCATAGCTCCACAGCATAAAATCACGCCTCTAAAACCAATTTCCTAGTAAATTGAAGCGATAAATAGTGGAGTATTAAAGTTTATTTTCCGAAACTTTTATGAAACTATAAATTGATAGACTACGAAAAATTGGAAATTACAATAAATAGAAAATATTATGATACAATGATGATACAAAGACCCTAAAATGACATCTAAATCCCCAGTATTCAAATATAGAATTGTTTTATTACATTAAGAAATAGAGTATTTTTCACAGTCGACAATGCCGATTCTTAATGTTATTTATACTTTTTTTGCAGCTCTCTGTTGCATGATGGAAAAAGAAAGGCAACAAGAACATGCAAAGAAACGGCGAAATAAGAAGTGAAAGAAGAAGCAGCTATGAATGTGCAGTATGTATGTATGTATTTATGTATTCTTGTTGTAAGTGGGGGAGTAGTAAAAAGTAAAAAAGAGGAAAAAATAGCACAGCAATAATAAACAAGTGCAAGAAGGAACTAGGAGTCGAATTCCCAGGAAAGTACCTCCCAAAAACAGGGTGGAAGGGTCTTTAAAGCCCCCACGAATCCTATTGGAATAAATCGAAAGGGGCTTACAGTAAACCTGGACCTAGTAATTAGTTTTAAATTGGTCATATTTGGCATCATTCATATTTTAAAAGGTAATTTCAATAATTGGGTTTTTATAAAAGTTTAAGTTTTAGATCTGTTCTTATGAAAATGAAAGTGGGATTATTATTGATATTGCTTTTAGTTTCAAAACCAAGTTTTAGTTTCTAAAAAATAAAATGTAGGTCTTGAAAATCTACTATACTTAAATCTTTAACATGAATATTTATATAATTATTTCCATTATTAATTATTGATTATTATATTATTTTGGCATTAATAATGAATTTGAGCTACCGTTTTGAAATTATTTGTATTTCCTCTACTGATAAAAGGAAATTATAACCTTTAAAACTGTTTATAAATAAAAAATAAAGTGTTAGAAAATTAGAACTAAATAAAATGAAAACTTAGTTCTCGTTTTTCAAACACTGTATCTGTATCTTTCAATCTAATCACTTTTGTCACTTTTTAGCACTGTTTACAAGTACCAGATACAAATATGCATCTACAAGACTTACGTCTTCGGAATCGTCCTGCGACTGGAGGTTCTCGGAAGAACTGGATGATTGCATTTGTTGCTGCTGCTGCGCTTGCTGTGAGTGCTGCTGTTGCGGATTCTGATGCTGCAGCGCGACGGCATCACTATCGCTGGAGGAGGCAGTCGAGGAGGAGGTGGCCGCCGCTGCAGCCGAGGCGGCGACTGCGGCAGAGGCTGAGGCTGCGACTGCGGCCGCCGCTGCTGCCGACTGATGGAAGTTGGAATTATTTGTCAACTGCTCCGAGCAGCGGACGCACGTGGGTATGCTGTAGCCAGGCACCTGGAATAACTGAAGAACAGGACGATATTGAATAATCCGATTTATTTATTTAATTTATGAAACAATTTTTGTTTATATGTATGTATATAAAAACTTATTAAAACTTGTTTAAATTGTCTCAAAATTGTACCATAAGATCCTTGAAATTTGTGTAAAAATTCGATACTCCCTTTTAGTATATCGCAAAAATTGATAATATGATTGATTTGGCGCTGAGAACACAGTTTGGTTTTTTGTAACGATACGGAATTTTCGATATACATATGTATGTAACTTTCTTTTTGATAATATCTCTAGTCAGAATTAAAGAGCGTTTTCCAATTGGAGTTTTTGATCAAGGAAAACAAAAGCAAAACAACGTTTTTGTTTATTATGGCAACCTCATTTCAACTCCCCCTCTCTCGTTTTAACCAACTGGAAATAACCAAGAAGATAAACCCACACACTCGTATGGAGAATAAAAAAAAAGAAAGAAAAGAAAATACAGAAACAGCTTGTTGTTGTTTTCATTTCGTGTTATTTTTTTTCGGTACAAAGTTTTGTTATTCTTTCGCTTTTTGTTTTGTTTTTGCCGCCGCTCCACCAACACACGAAGCAGAGGCATCCCCAAAAAAGGGGTCAAGATTTTAGAAATTCCAATTAAAAAAAATTGCGGATGAATGAGAGGAAAAATAAGTTTAAAAAAGTTCATTTTGTAAAGCTTGTACTGTTAAGATACTTTCACGTTTTAAAAACACAATTTTAGATTTTACTAATCGAATAACTTAATATTAATTTTAACCCCTTTTTTACGCAATTTTATTTAAAAAAAACCCTCTTCCAACTTATGCCTCCCGCAGCCACTGTTTTTTGGCTGCCTTGGCGCAATTTCTGTCATTTTGTTTTATTATGTATTTCTTTTTGTATGGTTCATGGGTGGGGGGGCAATGGGGGATGACGTAGGGGAAGGGGGGAAGGTTGAAAAGGAGTCAAAGTGAAAAGCGAGCGGCAAGCGTAAGCAAAATGTAAAAATAATATTTTTTCAAGTTGTCGGCTTGAACAACTTTTCGGGCTGAGTTGGCTAAAAATAAAAATTGTTCAGCAATAGTTTTGGGGCCACATGTGTGTGTATTTGATATTTTAAGGAGGGGGATTCAGGGGGCAGTGCGCGCGCTTTTCAACCCCCTTTACAAAAAAAAAAACAGTAGCGCCAATTGAATTGTTTAAACTCTCCCCACGGACCCCCACCAAAAAAAAATCAATAGAAACAACAAAATACACAACTGATACATATGTATGCACCTAAATACATGTATATCATATTTTTGTATATATCATATTTACCGTTGCCGTTTGGAAGCACAATCTACAGATGGTGTCCATTATAACCGTAAATCGGGAAGAATTCGGGAAGGATGAGAAGGAAAGGGAAGATGCACTGGAAGTCCCTCGTTGTTGTTGTTGCTTGCCCCCACTGCAATTGTTGTTGTTGTTGTCCTTCTCCCCCGAAATTTACCGCTATTTTTACCGGTTTGCATTCAGCTCCTTCTTTTTTTCTTTTTGTTGCTATTTATTTGTTGCTCGTTTAAATCTTGGATTATTTTGAACAATGCAACGGGTGCCTGGTTTTTATTAACTAACTTTTGTGTTGCCTTTTCAGTGATCACACACTAGGGCAAAATAAAAAAACAAAAAAAAAACTTTATATATAAATTTGATTTATACAATATTTTCGTTGTACACACACACGCACACACACACACCGTTGTTTATGTTTGCCTTGCACTTGCACGTACATATACATATGTACGCGGTGTTGGTGTTGCTGTTTAATTCCTTTGCGTTTTTGTTTTTTTTTTTTTGTTTTTCGGTGAGTTACACGTGAAAAAAAACAAACCAGCGCGTTTGAGTGCGTTTTTTTTTGTATTTTACAATTCACGACGAAGTTTTCGTCTTTTTTTTGGGGCCCGATGTTATTGTTGCGCAGTCTGTGTGTGCAAGGGGGACATCTAAAAGGTGTCATATATAGCTGTGCTGCTCTAAGATTAAGGTTTTCACTACTCAGCTGTTATATCGATACTTGTATCGATACTTATATCCGATTACGCGGCGGATAAGTATTCTAATACGAAATATGGTATCTCTATTTTTACCAATTTATAATTGCTCTTCATAATATGGTTTATATAAAATAAACATCTAACAACATCTCTAAAAGGAGCAAGTGCACGTACTGGAGGGCGGCCAAATAATTCCACGGCAATTATCACACTAAATTATATTGTTTCTTTTGACCATAACATATATTGTCCAATTTCAGAGATGGAGTCGTCAATACATCATGTAAGCCTGGAGTGTAAACAAAACCAGATCAATAGACTAGAAGCCACACAGGAACTGGGGGCTCCCATTGCGCAAGTGATTTCTCAATGGAGTGGACATCCAGTTGAGAGGGAGAATCCCCTTTCCACATCCATATGCACGTCCTGCCTGCTGAACGAGTCGAGCCATCTGCTCCTCCATCAAAGATCTGCGTCAGAAGGACCAAGGGAGTGAGGGATATCATTGCTCCAAGGAAAGGACCGTCGGAGACGTAGAATCATATGTACACAAGCTCCATAGCCCAGAAAAGAACGGCGGAATGGATAAGTCCGATCCCCAAGCGAGGATCGAAACGCGGGAGATGATTCCGATGTAAATGATGATATAGACTGATACTTCAGTTTAGTTGTTCCCGTTGTCTGAAGACTTTTAAAACGAAACGAAGACTTCCGCGCCCATGCAGGAGAATTATCTTTCAACTCGGAGTTTCTATCTTTAAAGACCATTAAAAACTCGCACAGGAGAATGACCATTTACATGTTCCCAATGCTCAAAGAGGTTTACCCGGAATCTAGATCTTCAAAGACACAGGAGAATTCAGGAATTCTTATCTTCAGAGTTACTTTTGAGTATACACACAGAATGCCCATAGAAGTGAGCCCAAAAGTTTTAAGGACACACACACACACCTCAAAATTGAGTCAAATTAACTGAAAAACCAGAAAGGAAAGCATAAGCCTAAGTATATATGCTTTTGCGGTTTAAGTCAATACACTTTTTTCACCAGTTCCAATTAATAAAATTGTATAATACTCCTTTGCATTTATGTATGCTTATACAAAAATATTCATGGTACCTAGATTGAATTCGAATCGTCCCTATGGCAGCTATATGAAATACTCGTCCGATTTTTATAAAATTTAAAATGTATTAAAACACATCAAAGTTATCCAGATTTTTCTATTAGTTTTCCGATCATTTTTATGTTAACTATTTGATAAAGTCGTTCGATCTCTTAAAACTGAGAGCTCAGTTTGAGTAGACGGTCGTGGCTGATCAGAATATGTGCTAAATGGTCGGTAATGTTCCCATCACTGCGTTTGAAACATCAGCATAACATTTTAATACCATGGTATAAAAATTAAATAAAATTGAATTCAAATTTAATGTCAATAATAAAGGATCAAATACAAAACAAAGCAATACTAAAGCAACTAAATGTTTCTTATATTCCTAAATGAGAAACTATTAATCTATTTACCTGAAAATGTTTATGCTAATGTCGTTGTTATAGTATTATTTTAACACTAAATAACGAAAATAATACATTGAAGGTTAGTTTCTTAATGGACGAGTTTAATTGGTGTTATTTGAAAATCAAAAGTATTCATTTAACACACATCTTGTTAAGAACTTCTTTACTTTATGGTTTAGAATTCATGTAACAAAAGTCTCGCTTCCATGGCTGTTTTTTTCGGTGCACGCTTTGAACACGCGCACAATTAATCCAATTGCAAATGAAAATAAATAGAAATGGGGATCACTCGCATTAACAATCGGGCCAGGACGATGATGAATGAGCGGGAGGATGCGGTGGTTGTGGATCATAAAAGCGACAGCTTCCTTCCTTTTGTCTGTGGCTTACATATTTTATTGTTTACCCACTCGCTTTTCCCTTTTTTGCATACTTGTGCTCAGGTGTCGAGGACAAAAGCGCCGAAATTGAATTTAATGAAAAGCGAAAGCAAAACAAAACAGGAGAATAGCAAAAAGTACGAGGAAGCGGGACAAGGATCACCCACTTCCGTTTGCCGGCAGGTAAGTCCTGTGAAATACAGGTAGCTGCTTTGCATATTCCAGATCCACGGATTCTGAGCCCCGAGTCCTTTCATCCTGCTCACTTCCGCAGGAAGCGTGTGAATTGAAGGTTTAGAGACAGTGGACACATTCACTTTCCCTTAAAACAGTGCCTAGTTAGCCTTAGTTTCTAGTATGAACTTCTTTCAAAAAGTACAAATTAATGTAATTAAATTAATTCTTAAAAACCAAAAATATTAAAGGTGAGCAATCAAAATATTTTGCTCAAGGTAATATTAAAATATTAAATTTTTAACTAAACATAAACTACTTTTGATATTTTCCTAAAAAAAAAAAACTTAAAGAAACACCTTTCTTTTTCTCCAGAACTCCATGTTCTTGAAAACGCACTTCATAGAGTGTGAATAATTGAATACATTTTGGAAGACCCAATGTCAAAGGGACTACTTTAAACTACTTTGATGACCGAGTAAATGGAACCAGAAAGACCAGAATGACGCAGTGTAGCCATTGGCTCCAAAGGTTCCAAAGGTTCCCCGTTGAGTACGTGACTTGGATTTGGTTTGCTAATCGAAGGGGACTGCGAATCGAAATGGGTATAGCATATACTTGACACCAAGTGGTAACCTCCCCGGACCCTTGCAACCGTATAAAACATTCGACTGGAACGATGGCGATTCACAGTTGAGCACTGGCGGCTGAAATAGCAACAGTGCCATCTTCAGAAGACAACGAGGAGTTCAGGATCAGGATCAGGAGTTGAGAACCAGGAGCAACCATGGCATTGGAAACGGTGCAGGAGACGCTGCAACAGTCGTCGTCGTCGTCGACTGTTTTGGGATTCAGTCCCATGTTGACCACCTTGGTGGGCACCCTGGTGGCCATGGCCTTGTACGAGTACTGGCGCAGGAATAGCCGGGAGTACCGGATGGTGGCCAACATCCCATCGCCGCCGGAGTTGCCCATTTTGGGACAGGCTCACGTGGCCGCCGGTCTGAGCAATGCCGAAATCCTGGCCGTCGGCTTGGGTTACCTCAACAAGTATGGCGAGACGATGAAGGCCTGGCTGGGCAATGTCCTGCTCGTCTTCCTCACCAATCCCAGCGACATCGAGCTCATCCTCAGTGGCCACCAGCACTTGACCAAGGCGGAGGAGTATCGCTACTTCAAGCCCTGGTTCGGCAATGGTCTGCTGATCAGCAATGGACACCACTGGCGCCACCATCGCAAGATGATCGCACCCACCTTCCACCAGAGCATCCTGAAGAGCTTCGTGCCCACCTTCGTCGATCACTCCAAGTCGGTGGTGGCCAGGATGGGACTGGAGCAGGGCAAGTCCTTCGACGTCCACGACTACATGTCGCAGACCACCGTCGACATCCTTCTGTCCACCGCCATGGGGGTGAAGAAGCTGCCGGAGGGCAACAAGAGTTTCGAGTATGCCCAGGCCGTCGTCGACATGTGCGACATTATCCACAAGCGACAGGTCAAACTGCTGTACCGCCTGGATTCCATCTACAAGTTCACCAAGCTCCGTGAGAAGGGCGACCGCATGATGAACATCATTTTGGGCATGACCAGCAAGGTGGTGAAGGATCGCAAGGAGAACTTCCAGGAGGAGTCGCGTGCGATTGTGGAGGAGATCTCCACCCCGGTATCCAGTTCTCCGGCCTCGAAAAAGGAGGGTCTTCGCGACGATCTGGATGACATCGATGAGAACGATGTGGGCGCCAAGAGGCGGTTGGCTCTGCTCGATGCCATGGTCGAGATGGCCAAGAACCCGGACATCGAATGGAACGAGAAGGACATTATGGATGAGGTGAACACGATTATGTTCGAGGGCCACGACACCACATCGGCCGGCTCCAGCTTCGCCCTCTGCATGATGGGCATCCACAAGGACATTCAGGCCAAGGTCTTTGCCGAGCAGAAGGCCATTTTCGGTGACAACATGCTGCGCGACTGCACCTTCGCCGACACCATGGAGATGAAGTATCTGGAACGTGTGATCCTGGAGACCTTGAGGTTGTACCCTCCAGTACCGCTGATCGCCAGGCGTCTGGACTACGATCTGAAGTTGGCCAGTGGACCGTACACGGTGCCCAAGGGCACCACGGTCATCGTGCTGCAGTACTGCGTCCACCGTCGTCCCGACATCTACCCCAACCCGACCAAGTTCGATCCGGACAACTTCCTGCCCGAGCGGATGGCCAACAGGCATTACTACTCCTTCATTCCGTTCAGCGCCGGACCGAGGAGCTGTGTGGGTCGCAAGTACGCCATGCTGAAGCTGAAGGTCCTGCTGTCCACCATCGTGAGGAACTACATCGTCCACTCCACGGACACGGAGGCGGACTTCAAGCTGCAGGCTGACATCATCCTGAAGCTGGAGAACGGCTTCAACGTTTCGCTGGAGAAGCGGCAGTACGCCACGGTGGCCTAGGAACCTAGGAACCTAGGAACAAAATCCGTATCCGTATCCGCATCCGACATCCCCTGTATATAGATATATATGAACCCTGAGATCCTGCGAACCCAATACCATGAGACGACGAACTGAGATATACCGAAACACCGATGAAGAAGACCCCAACAACACACAAGTTAGCCAGAGAGTCAACCAATTTTTCTTTTTCTTTCCTTATAATTAATACCCTACCCTTTTTTATTGTTGGTCTTTAGCGGGTGGTGCCCCTATATACGTATATATATATACTCTTTAACCAATTATTCAACGCAACTGTTTGTGCTCTTCACGTTTTTCCTGTCTACACTTTTTTTTCTTAGCCATGTAGTGTGATTTTTTTTTTCTTCTATTCTAGTATTTATTAAGTCACATGGTTTGAATGAAACCCAAAAAATATGAAAAATATATGTACAACATAGCAAGCAGACAATGGAGCTGCAAAAAATGTTTTAATTGCACATCTTGTGGTTTTATTTTTTTGGGATATAAAATGGGGTTTAATTATGAAGTCAAAAAACGATGACACTATGTTCTAATTCCCATATTTATCTAGCAGGTTGTGCGCCGATTTGAATGACTATAACTTAATAGATTAGAAAAAGTTATAAGGGAATTACTCATTAAAAGTATTTGTCTTAGAAAAATATTATAATATATAATATAGATATATTAATAATATAAAGATAAAATATAAGTTATAATGGAATTTCCCACTGAAAACATTTTTGAAGGGTATCTTAGTATTTGTCTTAGAAAAGTATTATAATATATATATATTATATAATATAAAAATAAAATATAAGTTATAATGGAATTTCCCATTGAAAACATTTTTGAAGTGTATTTTAGTATTTGCTATAGAAAAATATTATTAATACAAATAAAGGAATTGAATTGGATAGATATGCATTGAAATGTAAGCAAGTCTTTTATAAATATATGTAGATTATTATCTTAAAATATAATTTTCCTTTTAAAATTTGTATTATATTATTGCATACTTTTTCTTCGAGTGCATGTTATACAATAGCCATAAGCGATCTGAATGACCGTCGAAGACCTTGTTGGTGTTTTGCAATCATCGGGTTAATGCGCTAATGCGAGGCAATCGGCAGTTTGCAAACCGCTGGCAATGTCAAAATATTTATGCCGACCCTCTGTCCTTGGCAAGGTATTCATATTCCATATTTCGTTTATTTCACTTTTTGACCACGTTTCAGGTGTACCTGTTCGTATTTGTTAGCATTATGCTGATCTTAAGTCGACACTTCATTCGCTGGGCGATTTGTAATGCGATTAATCAGATGCCGATTGCGATGCTGACAAATGCAAATGCTATTGTGAGAAAATCGGTAGCAGTTTATCGCGAGTTTTTTTTAATGAAAAAATAAGAAGGGGTATACCCTCGTTTTTTTCTTTTTTTTTGTTGATTAGCTGAATTCCGCCTTGGGAGTCGGCTTTCACTTTTGGTCTTTGGCAATTTTCCGTCCGATTTTCGTTCGATTAACGAGCATCGGATTACGACACACGGAACGAAACGGAAATCCTTTCGGTTTCTTCCGCATTTCCTGATTAATGGAACCCTTCTCCAGCATCCGCAGAAAGTAAAAAAAAAGGACATGCAGCAGGTCCCCGAAAAAACCAAGCGATACACATCGATTCTGTTTGGTCATTGTCCTTTTTTGCGCTAGGCAAATAGCGGCGTTACCTGTGCATCTGTAAATCGGTAAATTGGTATTCCCATCCAGTGTTTTTCTCGGCCTCCGGATGTTTGTGCACATTCAATGCGTTTTTTATGGCGGAATCCTTTCGAGACGCTGGCTATAAATGTCCTTCCTTTGATGACAGCCGATGGTTGCTTGGCAAGGACGACATTCCACGTGGTGGCCATAAAATTGAGGTTTTTATACTTTTCCTTTGGGATTGGCATGGTTTGATTGGCCTTTTCGGGCTGATCTCATTCTTTTGGCATGTGCTGAGGAGGAAATCGTTAATAAATTGTATATAATGTTTTCGGGATTTTTAGGATTTTCAGAATCCCATTTGACATTTCACCGGGGAGAACACCTGGTGAATGTTTTTGGTTTTAAAATCGCGTATGTAAAGTCCTTGAAAATTTAGTTACTTTGATTGTAAATATCTATATATTTGTATTTATTTTTGTATATTGTCTTCATAAATGATGGTAGATAAATGCAGTCTTCTCTGTTCTGCAGGAAATGCTTTAGAAAGGGAGCTGTTTTCTGATGGAACTGCATTGATTGAGCTGTTTCCGGGATGTCTTCGTGTGGTCCTTCCCTGAAGGACCCCACAGTTGGCAAGGACTAGAGAAATCCTGGGGTCCCAGAATCACAGGAGCATTGTCGACTTCAAGTTGCATACAAATAAGGCTTCAGTGGAATGGAGAGTAAGAGATCATTGGACAAAGAGCTCGGGGAATTGTCGAACAAGGACCTGTGTGCAAGGACATCTCAATCATCAATATCAATGCAAAACGCTTCCTGGAGTGCGCCGCCCATTGAATTTGGCCAACAGAAAGTGTCAAAATTGTGTGTTGTCATACAATCGTTCGTCTGATGACTCAATGCCGAGTACTCTACTTTGTCCTGGAAATAATACCAGTGGCCACCCTGTGTGCCAACAGTCAAAACATGGCAGTATTGTACAAGGAATGCCAGGGTACGAGGTCCATGTGGATTCGGTGACTTGCGACATCGGGAAAATGTCCTGGAAAACATATGCAATCAGGCCTGGGGAGCAGTTTCAATTAATGCATCTAAAACTGGAATCCACATGTGTTGTCCTTATGCGTTTCGTTTTGGAGCTGCACTCACAGAAAAATCCTGGAGAATGGACAGAAATTAAAAATGTACCATATATATAGTTATACATATTATCTGTGAAGTAGATTTCTTTTAATGTATAGAATTATTTTTTTGAAAATTTAAATTTAGAGGTTTATTAAAATATACATACATATACTTAAAGTGGCACTCATAAATTGTGCTTTAAGTCATAAACAAAAATGTATATGCAAATGTAGGTGCATTTCTTCTTATTTAATACTTATTTAATGTATATGCGAATGTAAGTGCATTTCTTCTTATTTAATACATTTTCTAAGTGAAATCCTGGTACTATTTTTCTAAGTGCATGGCATAACATACTTTGAATGAGTACAATATGGAACCAGGACGAGCGTCATGAATGAAATTAACTCGGATCTGTCAGCCGCAGCCATACGCAAGATCATCTCTGGTTGAAGTGGAAAATAGGAAAATGAGATCGAAAAATGTGAAATAAATAATGGACGGGGGCTTAGGTAAACCACAGGCGATTTCTGAAAGTTTTAACCTGTTTTTTTTTCTGAACTGATGGCCAGCGTTATCCTCTTGACCTGGATTCCTAAATCGCTGGATTAACCGATTATGGTTTTTAGGTACAAAGCGCACACTTAAGTGCCTCATTGTGAATTGAAGTGCGACCACTCGAAGATATAGAAAAAACTGGAAACTACAGATGCTAAACAAAGCCACAAGAAGCTGCTTAAGTTTAAGTAGCTCGGCTTATGCTGCGGTTAATTTCGTAAGTCACAGCAAGTAGTATTTGTCTGGGGGAAATATCTATAGTTCAGAGAACTGGGTTGAGAAATCAGAGCTGAATGAAGCTGGGTAAATGAAATCCCTGAATGAAACTAGACCACAAAGGATCAGCGTGGATTGGTGGATTAGCCACTGAGGAACGTGGTCAAATCCGTTAAGCACTTAACTAAACCGAACTCAATGAATCTCGGAATGAATGGGTCAGAAATCTTCTTATTTTCCGTTCAATCAGTCAACTTATCTTGCAGAAATCTCTCGCGTCGACTTTATTCCTTATCTTGATATATATTTTGCATTTTTCTAGTACGAAATCCTTTTGAAATGTTTCCAGTGAAACAACACAAAGTTTATATACCATTTCCTATATAGAGAATATATATAGATAATCAAACTACGATCTTTTTGAGGTATGCCACTTTGAAATCGGATGTCTGTAAGAAAAGTTATGGGCTTAAAAGTGCAGTTTTGGGACACTTTTTTGCGAAGCCATTTTTCCAAAATTTGGAAAGGGGTAACGTCATTAAAAAAGGACGAAAAATCGACCCAAAAAAAAAAATTTAACTAAAAATACAGATTTTTAGGGAATCTAATTACGATCAATTGGAAGTATGCCACTTTAAAATTGGATGTCTGTAAGAAAAGTTATGAGAGTAGAAGTGCAGTTTTTGGACACTTTTCTGCAAACCCATTTTTCAAAAATGTGGAAAATTAAGAAAAATCGACTCAAAAATAAAAAAAATATTTTCGTATAAAAGAAAGATGCACAAGTCTAGATCGACTCGGCTGGTGATGGCGATATTTCTCAGTATATAATCAATATATACTATAACCTTTATAGGGTCGTAAAAGTTTTGACTGAAATTATAATAGCCTCTGCAATGGTGTAAAAAGAACCCCACTCTTCTTCTGAACTTGTGTCATCTGTCGCAACTGCAATCGATTTTACCCACCAACCAGCTCGTGTTCGATCGGGTCAGAGATCGGCACCTGGCTGTTCGGATAATGGTAATGCAATATGCCCAGAAATCGGAGGATAGGGGATTGGAGTCTCAGGGGTCGGGGATCGGGGGAGAAGCCAATCAAGTGAACGGTATACGCATGCGCACACGCTAAAATGAACCGAAAAACATACGGTACCCAGTAATAACTCATTATTGCACGCAGTGATTTATGAATATTCAATGGTGACATGTGGGGGCGTGACCCCGAAAAGGCATAATGACGGGGAAAATCAAAAGAGCTATGAAACCAAATCCCACGATCGAAGGACACGAGCGGCTTTATATCCCTTTGAGATTTCATCTGTCCTCTAAGCCTTTCGAATTCACAAAAAAAAAAAAAAACAGAAACCAAACTAACGGCAATGATTTCCGAATTCAAAACGGGAAAAATGCGAAATACGATCCAAAATCGAAGGTGTACGGTAAAGAGGCGTGTCACATTACCAATATTTAATAATTATAACGGTGCGTGAAAAAGATTTTCACTGCTAACGGTGAACGGGGCACCCACCACACTCACACACACAAACACACAGAAAAAGAAAAGGTAGGAAAATACCTTTGCACCTGGATCAGGAATTGGAAACTGCTCAAAAAAGGGGGTTGTAGGCGATCTCAGGAGCTCGGAATGCATGAAAACTCGGGATCAGACCAACACAGACAACTACACTTAGCGAAAAATTGGAAAATGTTGCGTTTCGTTTTATTAAAATAATATTTCTTAAGCCAAAAAAAATGTTAAAAGGCATTTAAAGTTAATCAACCTTAATAAAAAGGGAAAATATTTAATAAGTGTAGTCCCTAAATTAGGAGGAAAATTATTCTTATTTTTTGTCCTATCATTCGTGTTCCTTATTGATTTATTCATCGGTTAACTTTTAATGCATTTTTTCCTTCCCCAACTTTGTAATAGTTTTGTTCTGTGTATCAGAGTAATAATGAATTGGGTTCTTCGGTTTCTCCGGCTCAGCAGATGCACTTCTTAACGGCAGATCCTTTGGCACAGGCCATCTTTTCTTAATGGCCAAATGATTTTCAATTGATTTTCCTCATTGTTCGGGCCGTCTTGGATAATTTTGCATCATCTATATCCTTTGCATTGGCGCGTTTTTTCTGTTTATTCTCCCGTTTTTGTCCTGTTTGGGCAGATGTCCTGGGAGAATGGAACACGTAGGCACAGGACAATGAGGTCCTGCATACAATTAGCCTGGAGAGTGTAGCGCCAAGTCAGCGTGAGGGTGAGAAAATATCCTGTAAATAATGAGGAGAGCAGTCAAGATTTGCTACTTTAAATGCTAAAAGTATATGCCTAACATATATACTCCATATATGCATAGTTCCTAGGAGATTATAAATATTTTTAGGAAGGTGATTAAAGAATGAGCGAACAATATATATTTTCGTCTGTTGGTGAATACGTTTATGTATTTCCTTTTTTTTTTTACCAAATTATGCATTTCATAAGCTTTTCTTTTGTAATTGTGTTAACAATACATTCAACTTAAAAATTTTTTCGGCCAGGAGATCCTTCAATCATGTATGCAAATCCCAAAATATAACTCAAACGCTTTTAATAGATCGCTAATCGATCAAAGATTTCATCTAAACATCGACAATTTTGAGATCAGGACATTTAAGACCCTGTTTTTTTAGCGTTTGCGGTTGCCCTGTTAAATCCCTTATTAATATGCAGTCCTTTCCTCCCTTTTTTCCCAAGCTCCCTGGTATTTTTCCACCTCCTGCATCCTTTTTTTAGTTCATTTTTAATTACTTATGTCATTAGAATCGGGCACATGTTTAAACAGACCGTTACAAACGAATCCTGAACACTTGCAGCATAATTCCCAGTTCCCGTTTTTTATTCCCACGTTGCAGGGTTACGGCATTCGAAATTCGAATATCTTTCGTTTGCCACTGTCATTTATCAGGACATGCGGACATGAGGCTCATTTGAATATCGGGGCACTGAAGCGCGGAGCACTGCAGGATCTGCTACCCTCTATGCTACACTTAAAAAAAGTTTATAAATATTAGCCTTTAAGATGGCCCAACTGCGGTACTATTCACATTAAAGAAAGGTGTCGATCTTTTCTTAAAATGAACACAGAAAATGTTATTCTATAAGAAAGAAACTTATACAATGCTGAAAAATGTTTATTTTCCCCACAAAATTTTTTTTTTCATTTTCTTTTAAATTTTTTTTTATACTAAATTTTACTTGTTACGTAAGTAAGTTTAGTACACCTTATATTTAAAAATTTTCCCGTTTTCTATATATGTACGTAAAAACATATTTTGATAACGGCTTCATTTGTCAGCACAACTTTTTAGTTGTTTTCTTAAAAAATCGTGTTATGTGTTATAGACAAAAACGCAAATTAATTGAATTTTTTAATGCTAAAGAAAATAATTTCTTGAGTGCACATGCAAATATATTCCCTGTATCCTTGTTTTGCTCTCTATCTATCCGTCAGGCGGCGAGTCCTTTTGCATGCTTGGACGCTTATGAAAATGGAAATGAACATGATATTCCGATTCCATTCCACGTTTTTTTTGATCCAATGAATGTGCATGTTTGCCAGCTATTAAAAATTATTTTTGAAACCCTATATGGTAGGCAAAGCCGTTAGATATCGGATCAGGGCTATGGGAACTCATTTCGATCTCATGGGGATTAATTTTTCTTCATTTTTGTTATTACAAATCTTCTCAAAGCTGTAGATTATTTTAATATTTGTATAATCAAATATAATTCCATATATCTTACCCAGTTCCTTCCTATTGACAAGACCCAAAATAACAACGATTAATTTGATTTTCACAAATTTTCATATATATTTGCTTTATATTCTCGCTTATCAACTCAACATTCGTACAATTAAATCTATGAAAAAAATGGGGTTCTTAAGTAAGCACATTGAAAAAAAATACATTAAAGTGGGTAAAATATTATAAACTAGGACTGGCTCAACATTTAGCTCTTTATCAGGTTAACTATTTGGTGGTTGGGTCTTTAGGGGCTTTCGATTTGGTTTTTATCACTAGATGACTTTCATATTCGCTTTTGTTCTTAGATTCCTTTTTGTTTTTTTATAGTTGCTATTTACACAATGACTCAGTCAAGGCTTGATTTAAAAAAAACTGTGGATATACACTTGGGGTGTCACAGAAATCTTTAGAGTTTTGAAATCACTTAAAAGGTGTCTAAAAGTAGGCTAAATACTATTTTGAAACCTTAAGTTTGGTGGGTGTTTTTCAATTAATTATATGACTTTTTTAGATCATATTTTAGATTAACAGGTTTCGATACAATTTTTGATATAAAAGGTGCCACAGAAATTGAAAATAGCTTTTTACACTATTTGTACAGTTGTTTCAATAACTCTAGAGATTTCGATTAGAACTTTGGACTTAAGTGGTGCCACGAAACTTTCCAGACTCTTGAATCACTTTGAAAGATGTCTAAAAGTAGTCTATAAATGATCAAAATATAAGACACCTTTTTTGAGGTCCTTCAAAAGCTCTAGTTTGGTGAGTGGACTACATGGACAGATTGGTGGATGCACCATCGGACTTGGGCGTATGTGCCTCCCACCAATCAATGGCATCGATCATGCTCTCGTCGGAGAGGCAGCCACCAGCGGTGTTGTTGTTGGGCTGCTCCTGCTGCAGGATATCGCTGAACTCCTTCTTGAAACCGGGCAGTCCTACATTGTCGTAGAAGCTCACGGGTTCCTGGTCGTAGAAAGCGGGCAAAATGGGTGAGGATCCGAGGATTTGGACCTGCTGTTGCTGCGGGGAGCTCAATGTGTTGCTGGTGTTGCTGTTGATGTTGCTGCTGTTGCTGCTGATGTTGTTGCTGTTAATGTTGATGTTGCTGTTGCTGCTGGTGGAGTATTCCTGTTTGATCAGTTGCTGTTGCAGCTGGGCGGCACACGCCTGCAAGAGCAACTCATTCGAGGCGACAGGTGAAACTGGCGATGAGCAGGGACTTCGTGCCCCCTTTTGTGGCACGGGCGAAGCGGCAGCTGCTTGTTCCTGCTGACTACTCAAATCGCCCAATAACTCAGCCGTTAGCAGTTGATAGGTATTCGTGCCCGGTATCCTGATGTACTGCATCCCATTTAGGGTAGTCAAACTGGGCAGAAGATCGGAGGGATTCTGATTCTGATTATGATTCTGATTCTGGCTGTGATCTTCGACTGACAAAGTGGGGGCCTGCTGCTGCTCCTCCATTTCGTAGTTGCTCAGGGAGTCATCGAAGTGCTCGTCCAGGCCGTCGAACTCGTCCTTGATGAACATGAAGCTGTCGTCGCCGGAGCCGGAACTATTGCCACCCCGACTGTTCAGCGGTGGGAAGTCGAAGCCGAGCAGCTTCTCCAGACTCCTGATGTACTCCACGGCCATGCGGAGGGTCTCCACCTTGGACAGCTTCTTGCTGGCCCCCCGTCCCGCCCCCTGCGCCTCGAAGGCCTCGGACACCTCCTCGGGTATCTTCTCGCGGAGCAGGGCGAATCCATTGTTGACCTGCTTGACGCGATTGCGTTCCCGGGCATTTCTGCGTGCCACCGCCTGTGGCAGGGGCAACCCCTTCCTTCCCGGCGTGCCCAAGGTTGGCTCGCCTAGGCTGGACTTACTGGCGTTCTGCGATATAACTGGTGGCTTTGGACTGGCCTTCTCCAGCGTCGACTTCTTGGCCACTTTGCTTTTCTTGGCCGGCACAGCTGAACCTTTACTTGGCTGCTGATTCTGCTGATTCTGCTGGTTCTGTTTGGACTCTCCGAGGGGTCTCTTCCTTTGACTGGGAATCGGTGTGGTGCTGGCCGAATTGGCCACCGCACTTTGAACCGCACCCAACATGCCAAAGTCACGGATCTTGCGGATGATCGTGTTCTGATTGGCGATGTGTTGCTGCAACGCATTGGCGCCACTCTCACTCAACACATTGTGGACGGTGATCTTGCCGAAGGGCTTCAGGGTGCCCTTGAGTCCTGCGGCGGGGGGTTCTCCTTGGTGTCCTTGGGCGGTGGGCTGAAACTCAAGGCAGCCATTTCGTGGGGGTTTGTGCTTTGGACTCTCGTAGGTGGATCGAAACTTGTGGGTGTCCTTTCAGCCCGAATGTTTAAAGGTGACTGGATGCAATGTGGTATGGTAGTCTGGTAGTCTGGTGGTCTGGTTTGGTTTTCGCTTTAGGACAGCTGCTGGCGTTCTGTGTCGCGTGCCCCGAAACTCCGAACTCGAACTAAAACGAAAAACTCAACGGAAGTGACTTCGTTGACTGACGAGGCATTTGAGGTCCTGCGTATCCCTTATGTAAAAGGCCTGACTTTTCATCCCCTACACTGGGGTGTCCTTCGCTCGATCGCTCGAACACACACACACACACAGGCATACCTCCAATATATATAGGTGTTTCATACAGAGTGCGGCTTTTGGGAAAACTAACATCTGATCAGGGGACTCGAGCCAAAAACTCCACCTGGCTTAAGGGTGGATTTCGCCCCGCTCTCTCTCACTTTTTGTTGTATTTATTATCGGGCACAAAAACAGCGTGTTTATATACCGCCCCTCTCGAGGCATATGCATATAATAATAACCATATATAGGTATAATCATAATGGCATATAGCCAGGGGAGCTTTGGCAGCCCTGGTCGCGAAGGTAAGTGTACCTGGGAGTCCAAAGGGGAAGTGGTTTCGGCAGTCAGCACCTTGGATTCCCACACACACAGTCCTCATAGATCAACTTGGTCCACCAAACCAAAAAAAAATATTAAATAATGAGAAACAGTAAGAGAATGCAGCTACGTGGACTAGATTTAATATTGAAAGTATATATTTTAGTGGGAAATCAACCAAGTATTGCTCACAAGCAATTCAGGACCTTTGAAAATGCCATAAGAAAACCAAATCGATTAGTCAGTTAGTTTAGAATATGTCATTTAAAAAAGATCAGTACTAAGAAAAGATCTGCCTTCTTTTCCAGCACCAAATCATTTAAGATGTTCAGGACCCACAGAACTAATTCCTAGTTAATAACGAAGATATGTCCAATCAATTGAAACTCAAATCGTAACTGCCATACATCATCGAATCAACGACTTGTCAGATTCACTTAACTTTCCACTTAATCGAAAGGCTGGCTCAAGTCTATCTTGTGTGGAATTTTCCAGAGGTCCTGTAAAACCAGAGGGAAAAGTAAAACCAATCAGGATCGGCATTGTGCAAAATCATTGCCAATTGTCGGGGCTAATTAAGGTAAATTAAAGAAGGCGAGAAAAGCAAGATCCAGGCGATTATTTTCGGCCATAAATCCTAATTAAAATTGACAAGATGCGAGAGCGCCGATCTTAAGATCCTTTGAGGGGTGAAAAAACTCCCATCCTTTCTCTAGCTACTTATTTATTTGGTTCGCTGTGACGAGCTGAAAAAATCTGTGGCAATTAGTCTGGTGGGAAAATAATTTTACCAGTAGTCTAGTTTTTTCTTTTCTAATTTTTTTTTTTTTTCGGTTGGAAGCTTAGGTCTGTCTGTAGAAACTAGTTTTCGGTGTGTGTGCTACAATAAACTTTTTTCGGTCGGGGCTCTCAGGTAGTTTCAAACAGACCTGAGTATATAGAGAAGTATATGTGTGTGGTACTTGCTGCACAATTTATAAACTTGAGTTCACTTGAAAGGTTCAAGGAAACGACTGTGTCGACTACCGGTTTTTGATCCAGGATCCCGACGATCCTCGATCCTCGGTCCTCGATCCTCCATCCTTCATCCTCGTTGCTTTGAGAACTCAAAGAAAAAGGAGTCAACGTCAACGGTTGTTGCGTACTGAGGAGTTTTATTCAAGTACTGAGGAGTCCTTGCTGCTCGGTGTCCTTTGTTGTCCTTCGAGGCTTTGACTCGGTTGCGTCCCACTTTGACGACGCGACACGACACGCCCCTCAAGAGGCCGCCCCCTGCCCCCTGCCCCCTGCCACGCCCCTCGCGCACTGCGAGAAAATAGAATAGACAAACAGGAAAGTAGATAAGAGAAAAATCAAGTTCCCGGAAGCTATCTCAGATAGTCAGTAAAGTGGAACCCAGACTTTCATTCTTTATCTTCAACAATTGAGCAAATTTTTAAGTACTATTTAAAGCCTTAAAAAGAGGTGTTTAAGATATGTTATTTTTGAACAAAAACAAGGACATACATATATTTAAAAGCCTTACAGGCTTAACAATGCAAGATATTTTTTTAAAATTGCATTCCAATTTAAAATCAGCATTATCACAGTTAATCATGAATTAATTATTTCTCATCATGTACCCAACTGAGCTTTACAATAAAAATAAAAATAACAATCATAAATAAATAACAAGAAATATTTTTTGTTGCCTTTTCAACAGCAACCCCTGATGGAAAATTAACTTGACTGAATTCCAATGGGGTAGGAAAGTCTCATTAATGCAGCTCGGTTCTCCCTATAATTCTCTGTTTTTCTCATTCCAGCAAATATAGAGAAATCTGACATTATCACCAAGGGAATTTCAGTTATGACAAAATATAAGGGGTATATTCCATATTCGGGAACATGCTAGTTAAATAATAGTGCGTGTACACTTTAAAGGGCGACAAGTAGAACACTTTTCAAGTTGCTTACATTTCATTTAAATAAAATATTATAAAATCCCAAGGATGCCAAATAAATCTCACAAATTGTCGCCCACTCCCTAAAAGAACTAACATCCTGTCCAACTCCTGGCATTCCCTTTTTTTAATAACTTCCATTTCATTTCGACTTTCATCTTTGGCGGCTTGAGAAAATACAACAATTTGGGCAAACAAAAACCAATTTCGATCTTGGGATTGGCAAACGCTCCAATGATTCCTGGCTTATTTGCATTTCGAAAACGCATCGATTTCAATGGGAAAGAATCATGAATGTGAAGAAAGGAGGGAGCGTAGGAAATATGAATATAGATGATGAGTGAAATTCGAAATGGGAGTGAAAGCGGTGAGCAAACAGATGGAAAGTACATAGATCCTGGGATACACGTCCTTTTTTAGGGTTTCACACTCGGCAATCGTAAATCAATCAGGCAAAGCATTCAAATCACTTTGACTTTGATCCCCAGCCATCAAATTGGCTTGGCTTTTCCTTTTTCCCCCCTCTTTTTTCATTTTTGAAACCAGAGGAAGGCGCCGAGTGAATGGGTCTACTAATAAGTAGTCCCCAGGACTCATGTCCTCATGTCCTCATGTGCCCATGTCCTGTGTACTTGTCGTCGGCTCAAGTGGATCCTCGGCTCATTCGGCATCTGTGCGCAGTTGTGCATTCATAAATCGCCTCACTGCCTCCCGTTTTCCTTTTCGAATGATTTCGATTTTGGATTTATGAGTGGCGGAAACTTGAAGAAACGGAAGTCTCGCTGTGGAAGTCCTCGAAACAACTTCGGGATCAAGCAGCCCAGAGAAAAAGTGACAGGACCCAGGCGAAGAATCCGACACAACGATCGCTCGGCGGGGGATCTCAATCCATTTCTGGTTTCCAAAGGGATTCGAGGATCAACTTGGGATCTCGAAAAAAAAGACTGTCTAATAGATTCAAGCAAGGTTAAAAAAGACCATCATTTAACTTATGGTGTTATAAATTGACTTGTTTTAATCGATTTAAATTCATCTTCATAAAAATTAGATAAAATAAATCTAGTAAACATCTAAGTTTTAAATTTATAGTATTTTTAAAGTTTTTAAAAGAAAATTTTATAGCTCAATAGGCTGGCATATATTGACTGAGGTGACTCCAATTGAAACTAAGCTTTTTTTTCTTCCCCAGGAAAATGTCTTGCGCCAAAAGTGTGCGACTGCGTCCAGTTTTCCGTGAACGTTTTTCGAGAACAACGAAAAGCGAAATTTGTGAATTTCCCTAAGAATGCTGAATTGTTGTTGTGCGATAGCGCACGTGCCTCGTTGCTTTAGTTAAGTGTGCGTGAGTGTCTGTGTGACGGCGCATTTATATTGGGATCATGCTCTACCTGGGACCCTATACACTGAAAAAAAAATTACATCTAATATCAATAGTCACTAATAGTGGCTCGAATGCCACTGCTGCTCTATTATTTATTTTTATTTTTATTTTTTTTTTTTTTGTCTCTACAATTTCGAATCACTAAATTTATTAACTGTTTCACTTAAATTTTTCCTGTGTAGAGAACACCATGACCACGCATATGTATGGGAGTATTCGGGGTCCTTTGGCGCGCTTTTCGGGGGTTGACAAACAACCATAAATTATCCTCACCCTCTCTTTCTCTCTCTGTCTCGCTCCGGCCCCTCTCGCTCACTCTTTCCCTCACCCGCTCCTTCTCCTTTTGGCCAGATCCTGTTCCCATCCTATCCGATCCTGGTCCCGAACTGGTCCCGATCCTGATCCAATCTGGGTATATATCGCTCGAGGCGCAAATGTACATAAAAAGCGGTACGGAAAATTAAGCAATACACGCAGAGAAAATCCAATAAAAACATTAACCTTAAAGCTTAATAAAGCAAACCAATTTCTTTGGTTAATACTATTTTTAAGCTTTTACATAATCGATCATCTCTTACCAAAAATATGGACTAGGCTTAAATATGACTTAGCAATCTGAAATATATAAAAAATATTAGTAGTCTTTAATTTTTATTTTTTTAAATGTTTGCTGTTTATGTTCACCAGACAGTCTTTAGCAGCATTTGTTAAGTAACATTGCATCTATAAAATTAATCTCATAAATGTAGAAATAAATCCCTGATTTCCACTAAATATTATATATATATTGTGCGTTTAATAGTATAATTTTCTCGGACTAATTTTAATTTAGTTTTTAGCGGTGCCCCAGGACGGCGACCTTTTATCAACATCCCACTCTAATGGCCTTTTGTTCCGTTTTATATAGAATATATGCCGTGTATATCGTGTATATCGTGTCCCGTGCTGGGGTCGCTGATCGCCGCCGGTCCTGCATCGTCATCCTGCCGCGAAAAACATCTGCTCCTGCTGCACACACATCAATTCGCCCCCTCTCCTTCTGTAGCTCCTACACCCGTCTCTTTCGTCGCACATTGTCCCCCTCTCTTTCTCTGTCTAGCAACCCCTGCGTCAATAACAAATGTCCACACGAAGGTCCTGCCGGATTAGGGGGTGTTTGCATTAGGGATCTGCTCGGCTCGTCGCTAACTTTCGAGCAACAACAGTGAAAAAGCTACCCAAAATGCGGCAATCCAGT